TACTATGACTTTCTCATGATATTTTTGATGACATACTATACTATGACATTTTTATCAACATACTATACTATGACTTTTTCATCACATTTTGGACGACATGCTATACTATGACTTTTTCATGATATTTTTGATGACATACTATACTATGACATTTTTATCAACATACTATACTATGACTTTTTAATGAAATTTTTGATGACATACTATACTATGACATTTTTATCGACATACTATACTATGACTTTTTCCATCACATTTCGGACGACATACTATACTATGACTTTTTTTATGAAATTTTTGATGACATGCTATACTATGACTTTCTCATGATATTTTTGATGACACACTATACTATGGCATTTTTGTTGACATACTATACTATGACATTATCATGATATTTTTGACGAGATACTATACTATGACTTTTTCATCACATTTTGGACAACATACTATACTATGACTTTTTAATGAAATTTTTGATGACATACTATATTATGACCTTTTTATGACATTTTTATCGACATACTATACTATGACTTTTTCATCACATTTTAGACGACATGACTTTTTCATGACATTTTTGATGACATACTATACTATGACTTTTTCCATTACATTTTAGACGACATGACTTTTTCATGACATTTTTGATGACATACTATACTATGACTTTTTTATGACTTTTTGTCGACATACTTTAGTATGACTTTTTTATGAAATTTTTGACATACTATACTATGACTTTTTCATGACATTTTTGTTGACATACTATACTATGACTTTTTCGTGTCATTTTTGATAACATACTATACTGACTTTTTAATGACATTTTTGTCGACATCCTATTTCGACATTTTCATGACATTTTTGTCGAGATACTATACTATGACTTTTTCACCATATTTTTGAAGACATACTATACTATGACATTTTCATGAGATAATACTGAACTAATTCTTAAACAAAGAAAACAAAGAGGCCAACAATGAGTGTAAGTGATTTTATTTACAGTTAAACAGTCCTGTAGATCTGGTCGCTGTACAGAACCTTCACCACATCTAAAAAGGACCTTTTGCACGTGTTATAAAATGTGATTTCTACAAAGGGCTGGTTAAAATGTACAGGGCCCCAGATTCTGCAAAATCATTCATATTTTACAACTTTTTAACACAACAAAAATCCACAGATGATTGGCAGCTACTCCAGCTGCTGACATCGTAGTCGATGTGTCCTTTCCTGGGTCAAAGTGCAACTTGTTGACTTTTCCAGTTTTTTTTTTTTCCCTCAATCACAACTCAAACACGGTTGACATTCATGAGACCTTCATGAGTGTAGACTTGAGGGTCCTCCTTCAACCATCGTTTCAGTCATAGTTTCTCATCAACATAAACATCAAAACAACAAATAATGTGCATTGATACTGAAAAGTTCTTACACTGCTTAAATCCAGTTCTATCCACAGTCTATTTGGTTTTATTTCTCTTGACAAAATCTCTTCAAAACAAACAATCCACAGCAATTATCTTTCCATCATTTCAATGGAAGTAAAATATGAACTTGAGATTTAAAAGTAGACATGTGCAAATGTGTACAGAGATTTTTATATGTGCATCTAGAAGAAAACATCTTTCAACACATTTACAAACCTCGGTATGTAAACATTCGCAATATGAAGTTATACATTAACAGATCTGTGTGCCTTTGTTTTGCGTTTTCAGTAATGAATTTCTGCTTTCCTTACCATCCTTTTACAAACGCTGGTACATGTGAATTACGCCTAGGACAGATATCCAACCCCTCAGAGCACATTAACACAGAATATTTATATATTTATATAATTATATAATTTTCAGAGACTCTGCATTGTTTTTCATTGTTTGATAAAAAAATTTGGACAGTAATGTGATTTAAATTTTGCCCTTTCTGCATTTCTGGTGCGTGAAAACAGAGGACTATCTGCATGCTAAGTTGGCAGCATGATGTGTTGTTAATGTTTTATAAAACTTGGAAGTTATATTGGATTTGCTCTAGAGTCCGTGGGATTTAGAAATTCTGTTTAATGTGGCTCTAACACACATTTAAGTGCTGACACGATAAAACATTAACTGGGAAACAAACTCTATCCCACCATTTGTTACTGCATCATTAGTATTTCCTGTGGGCGCTGAAGATGAATGAGTGTTACCATTGGGGGTATTTTAAACATTCCCCCAAAGCTCTGCTGCACTATGAGCTTTTTTACAGAACTTCTTAATGTGTATACACAGATGTTTGATTGTTAAAAAAACAAACAATAACAACCATAATAGCTCAATAACACACCTTAGAGAAATCACAGAAGCCACAGAAAAATAATCCAGAGCTCATCAGCACTTTGGCTGGAGAGTGTGGGCCCTTCAACTAATCATTCAATACCGTCACAGGCTGAGCATGTTACTGTACAAACATTCAGATACTGTGTGTGGCTGCAGAACCAGAGGCTGGATATGTTGATGTATCTCTCAACAACTTGTGACAGCAACTTTTCTTCTAAAACATTACAAACAAATTGAGTGTGCTCGCTTTCTGATTATCTCCAAATCAAAGTGTTTTGTCATCTGATCGTCTGTTTGTGTTTCTTGTGTCCTGTTGGATTTCGTTGTAGTGGTGTGAGCTGTTATTTTAGTGTGTAGAAATGATGCTTAAAACTATGACAAATGAATTCCTAGTTGCAATGTGGCAGACTTTGTTTCGAGAGATGCAACAGATCATTATATTTTACATCTGCTTACTTTTGGGTTAGAACCTGTCATCGTTGGTTTGGATGCGCATTCATATTCCTACCTGTAACAACTGTAAACCTCCAGTATGGCTGTCTATGAGTGTGTTAATTCACCTGAAATCATTTATCACGTACAGAAAAGTGACTGTGCTGGCATCTTTTTTGGTTTTGTGTTTTTTCAGAGCAGCTTCTGTATATTTAAAACAAACCGTTCGTACTGTACTGAACTCTCTCATAACCTTAAATCTCAGCTTGGATGGAGAGCCTCCCGTCATCCCAACAGTTGGCACGTTTAGTAAAAAGACGATCAACAGTAACACTGATTTTTTTGTTGTTGTTAACAAACGGTTCAGCGCTGAAATAAACTAAATATTTCATCATCATTATGAACACTAACTAAAAATTTATTGTTTTGGATGAAAACTTTACATTAAAATTAAATCATATGCAGAGCAGTGTTGACAGAGGGTGTGGCAGCACACCGGACATTTATCTTCAGGTACTGGACTAACATTAAAGGCAGATTCAAAAGTGGTTTTAAACAATTAAATTAGAGCTGCAACTAACCGTGATTTTCCTTTAAATTCATCTGCAGATCTCTTCCATCGATTTGTCTGTGTAACGTTTAAAAAAAAGTGAAAAAATAGAATTAAAATTTCTCAGAGCCCACTGTGATGTCTTGAATTTTCTTGGTTGGTCAGACCAAAAGTACAAAACTTTTAAAAGGTATAGCCTGTAACTGTTCTGCATGAAAATGTCTAAAAACATCTGGACCTATGTTACTGTATATGTTTTGTTGTGCACTTTAAATATTGTGATGTTTTTAACAATGTTCAAACTAAGAAAAAATGTAATTTTATTCAAGAAACCATAAAGTTTTTTTGGTCGCCCATCAGTGGCGTCATATCCCCTTTGTATTGCGTGCCGGTGACGATAATATATTACCTTAACTGAGAAGTTGTGAATTAGCTAACGGTTAACTGTTGTTAACATTACTATAAGCTACAAGCACACAGCTTAAACAATCTAAATTTAAGAAGTTTATCTGAAAACGATCCATCAGCCTGAAGTATATCAAACGGTGGTGTCTCTGGCAGTGAATCATCTCCTCAAGTATTAAATTTTACCGTTCGGTTTGGCTGATGCCGCCTTCCAACGATGTGGCCCCTGAATTGAGACACAGCTATTGGTCACTGTCTGACTCAAACTGGAGCAGAATTATTCATTGCTGTTTGCTACGTGTTTTGTCGCCAGAGCCGTCCCTGTAAAGCGCAAACAAACGAGAAAACCAAATGACTCAGGACGATTATGGGACAAGAAGAGATGTAAAACAAGGGGAAATATCAGTGTGACTTTTCCAAGATGGAGGGAGCTTTGTGACAAGCTACAGGAAGTGTTTGGATAGTCGACTCATCTAATGGAATGTTAGAAACTTTGCATTACGTTAGCTTACATTTCATGTGGCTATTTCATTTGAATGAAATGACAAATCATGAATAAAAGTAGCGTGAATGAAATTTAAAGACATTAACTCTTTCCTGAACACGAACTCTGCCTGAGTTACGTCAGATTCTCATCAATGGTTGTTTAACAGTGAAACTCCCATGATCCCCTGCTACTTCACAACAAAATCAAAGTCTGTTTTTCGTTATTGTTTTGATTGAGAGACCCCTAATGGTAGAAATCACATGCTGTATATTTCATTAATTTTCTGTGGATTAACTGATCACTGCAGCTCTAATTTAAACGTCCTTTTTTTTGTTTGTTTTTTTGATGCCCTGACTCATAAAGCACACAGAAACCTAGTCATCACTTACAACAGACACTAAATCCATACTGCAACATGGCGTTCAGGTCACTGTGGTTTAAACATCAAACGCCAAGCGACAACGATAAAACAGTAAACGCCCTACAAAAGAAGACACTACAATAAATAAAGCTTACTTTGTATAAATAGAGTTCAAGTTAAAATATTGCTAATATTAGTCTTCATATGCTGTATGACTATACAATATAAATGTTTCATTAAAAAAATCCTCTACTGCTGTTTTTACAGTATATTTGTATCATTTTCACAGGATTCAAAGAAAATGGATGAAGTTGTTGATGAATGATGCGAGTGGTGTTTCCATCTTCACTTAGTTGAGATAAAGTCTGTAAAACTCTTTTACTGTTTCAGGCTACATAACGCTGAGCGTCGTCAACTGCTCCTTTATGATCGCTTGCAGAGTTTTCTCAAAACATTCACAGTCTTCCAACAGGTTTCCTGAGCTCGCCTTAAAGCGATGACGTGGGGCGGTGAGAGTTCATCCTGGTGTGTGTGTGTGTGTGTGTGTGTGTGTGTGTGTGTGTGTGTGTGTGTGTATGTGGGTACGTGAAGGTGAGTGTTTACAGGTAAGGCTCTCCAAACGTCCTGCGGCACTCCATGACCCCTGTGCTGGGAGGACGGTCACAGTTATGGGTCAGCTTCACCAGGCTCGGCACGAGGCGGTCATACGCCAGCTTGTACTCGCGATCAAAGGCATCTGAAGAGGGAGAAGAAACATGAGTCTTTTTCTTAATCTTTAGTATTTCAATCCTTTAAAGCAGCTGTAATCGATGTTTTTCATTTATCAAGAGATCAAAGACGCTCAAAGTGATGAACCCACAGAGATATCAACCAATTCTACAAATACCCTAAGCTCTGTAGAGACTTTTATACTGCGTTTCTACCAAACCCTTTCAGTAATTTACCACTAGGACCAGAAGTTATATTAACTTAAAAAGGTGATTGAACTGTATGTCAATGTTGTGTTTATAGCTTGTTTATGCAGCCCCCTAGTGGCATTAAATAATCAGTTAAATAAAAGTTTAAAACAAAATCTTCAAGTTTTTTTACTCAGAGTAACTTGAAATATTTATCATTTTAATCCGGAACTCAACAGAAACTTTAATAGGAAACAAAAATGAAAGCACTGACACTGGTGTAAAATTATAGCAGGTCCTTGGAGTCCTTGAAGCTGGTGTACAGTATGTGACAATATGATGTGTAATCATTATGACTCACCAATATCAATGTTGTCTTTTCCCAGAGCCACCAGAGAGAGGAAGAGGATGTCCCTGTACAAACTCCTGAGGAAGAGAGTTGAGGTTAGAAAACATTTCTTTCAATGAGAGCTTTTTTTTAACAATTAATGCCAAAAACATGTATTTTGTTTTTGCTCTTTCTTTCTTTACCCATAAAATGATCAGTTGTTTATCTCTTACTTGGCCCATGTTACCTTAAATTTCCTCGCGTGGCTCAACAGTGACCGAAGAATCCAAAAATGGAGAATATTCAAACATCAATTTTTCCTTAAAACCTTGTTATTTAACGCACTTCCTCATAAAGGAAGGTTAAGTAGCATGCCTGGGCAACTCAGTGTAAGGCACAAGCAGAGTTCAAATGCACAAGCTTGTCTATGCACGCTACTCCTGTGCTTGTATGCGTGTTTGTGAGGTTCAGATCATACAACTGGATAAACGAGACCTGGATTATACGGCACCAGTTGTGTGAAAGTTTGTAAACAGATGTTTTGATATAGTTTTGTTAAACATATTTGTCTATGATTTCAATTCATCAAGAATTTTTACAGTTTTTGGATTTTTCTTCTTTGTTCATTCAAGGTAACACATGGTGAGTAACTGATGATCATTTTACAACTGAAAAATAAAGTTAGCTAAACCTGATCGCAACAAAATAAATTTAGTTTAGTAACATACACTTCTGTGACACAACTTTTGTTTTGATGCGTGGACAGCAGTTTTCTTCTGTGTGCCATTTATGATGCATTGTTTTATATTTTATTTTATGTATGTAATAGCGTGTACTTGACGTAACTATTGCCTTCTTGGCCAGGTCACCACTGAACAAGAAATTTCTATCTCAACTGGTTTTTATCTAGTTGAATTAAGATTAAATAAAAAAGTGTATTTAGCCATATTTTATGGATTTACAAAACAAACTTGGAAACACTGTCTTCACACCAGAATGACGTATGTGACTGTTTTAAATGGTCACAGTCTCTTCTATGCCTCTAAAGTCCTTTGTTAATGCTCTGTAAGTAAACGTAAAAGTCCTGCATTCAAATTTACAAGTTTTATTTTACAGAACAAAAGTATTAGCAACAAAATATACTTTAAGCACCAAAAGTTAAAGTCCTTAATGTGCAGAACGGCCCATTTCACATTAATATTTATTTTTATTTATTATTGGATAATAATCATTGATAGTTGAATGTACGTTTCACTTTAATTTTGCAGCTCGTAAAGGTGAAGCTAATTTTAATTACTTTATATACCTGTGTAGCTAAATCTATAATAATATGTTATAATTTTAATTTTCTATTAATAATGTGAATCTGTAAAGTAACTACATTTATCAAATAAATATAGTGGAGCAGTGAACATAAGCTTATAAAAACATAAAATGGAATTACTTGAGCAACGTACAAGTACCACAAAATTATACTTGAATACAGTGCTTGAGTAAATGTACTTAATTATATTCCACCATAAATTCTTTGAGAGGAATAAACAAAAACGTTTTAACAGCTACTCAAAGGGGACGAGTGTCTGAGTGCACGAATTTGAACTTTACACATGGAAGAATCTCTACACAGGTGTTTTGAAAAGGTGATGAATCCAAAGTTAAATAATAAATATGCCTGATATGAAATATTAGTACTGACCTTTGCCTCTTGACCCCAAGAGTCTGACCCAGCAGCTGCAGCAGCTGAGCCATTGGTCGGCTGACGTCGTTCCTCTGGATGCTCCTCACCACACTCTGCAGTAACTCCTCGCTGAATGGCTTCTCCTCCTCCGGGACCGGCCGGGACAGAGGGTAACCCACATCTACCAAAACACACACACACAGAGTTCAGCACTGGGCTCATATCATATCAGCATAGAAGATATGTAACAGTAATGTAAAATGAGGATGGTTTTATCTCAGATCATCTCTCAAGAGCAGGTTTTCACTCAGATGAAAAGTACTTGGGGCTGGGTATCTGTGCTGGTGTGTCATTTGGCTTGTGCTGAGCTAGAGCAAGTTAAAGTAACAGTATTCTAAAAAACATATATTGGTGCTGGTAAAAAAAAAAGGTAGATAATAATTAGATGTGCAATGTGTGGTGAATAAAAGCTTGGTATGTACTGTAGGAAAAAAAGTCTGAATTATTTGATTATTATACTGCTTTTTTCCTCTTTTCCAAAAAGATTAAATAAAAAATAACATTAAAAAACAAGTTTTGATTTGTTACACTTTAAATTGTATAATATAAAAAGAAAAATTAGATTCACTTCAGGTTCATTGTCAAAACACTTACCAGACTGAATTTATTATATATCATTATTTTATAATATTTAGAGGCATGTCATAACTTTTATACAGAACCCAGGAGTGTTGTGGGGAAAATAATGTGTAGCACTCTCTAATTAATAATTCAAGAGCACTAACCTTTATTAATTAGAAAGCATTATTTATTCATTTGTTTATATTTTTTTTCTCCACGACACCTGCTGAGCTCTGTACTTTTATAAATGTTGTTGTTGTTCACTCACACAACAAACACAGCGTGAAAGAAACTGTTCAAAGATAATAGACTCGTAATACCTGGACAGGAATGTTTCTCTGTGGAAAGTTGTTACTTAACCAGCCAATTAGCTAATTCAAACTTATTCTAGCTACAACAGCTACGACCTATTCAGACCGAAGAGTAAAAAATATGTTCAACATGTGTACGCATAAATAAAACAGGCACGCCAATGTCAAGAAAGAACTGAGAGTTTATAGGCATAGAAAGGCAATCCAGGCACTCCAAAAGAAATCTAGAAAAAGGAGGAAGGAAATATTAAAAGCCTTTATTGTAGTGGCCAATAAGACCAATGCAGGTCTTCATCAGGGCTTTCAGGGTTTTGTATGCCTGGATTGCGTTCCTGTCGATCCTGTTGTTTCCCGTTCTCCACAAGCACCCAACACAAGATTTAGATCTATGTTTGTACAAAGCAGCCTGTCTTCTCTCTCTTTTTCTAGTCTATAGAAATAGTTTAGATCTTTTGAAATGGGGTTGTATGAAGTACTTACCCATTGTCAGTGTATTACATACGGTGTCGGCACGCTGCCGGTTTGGAGAAACAGACAAGAGTACTGCCACAGAAGCTAAGCAAGCTAGTGCTGTGGAGGGGTCAGAGGGGTTAAGTGTACCCTATATTTAGTACATTTTCACTGCTTAACCTTCCTGTCAGGCAGCTTTTTCTGACAGGTGACTGAAGCCACGTCGCTCTCTTCACAGCCAGACTCCAGTGAGAAAATGGATTTAACACCACTGAACACAGGAGCTGCTGGTCCATCGCTGCCTCAATCGGTGAGTGTGTTTATGTTAATGTCTGAGGTTGGTGTTTTAAAGGGATAGTTCAGATATGTTCAGCGAGCCAAAATCACTGTTTTTGTAAATAGAGTCTGGTGGCTTTGACAAGAGCATAGATGGGCGACAGCTTCGCTGTCAGAAAGGGCTGTCTGTGTCAAGGTAAAGCATTGAAAATACTCTCGATATAGCGTACACTTACACTGTTAAGGATTCTTTTAGGTGGCTAAAATATGTTTAGCTCCACAGCAGTAAATAGTTAAGCTTCTCCAAACTGGGGGAATGCTGGCCACCACCTACTGTATGTAATACACTGACTATAGGTGAGTACTTCATATATGCCATTTCAAAAAATCCAAACTGTCCCTTTAAGTTACATCATTTGGCTAAAAAAACAACAGTTACAGCTTGTGATGCTTTAGTGACTTCCTGTTTACATAGCTGATTGCTCTGATAGAACGACATTACAGATGTTTTCTCACTGATGTATGCATTATTTAAGTCTTTACCATTTAAGTTTAATGGGACAATCCAGTTCAGTAAATACTTGCAGTTAGAATGAGTTAGACAGGCCTTTACACACAAACTTAGTGATGGATTTATGAGCTTGTGCAACCCAAAATGTATTCAGGAGGACCAGCACAATGAGGTTGGTGTTCAGTACCCAGCCCTTTAAGTACTACAACAATGTCCATCTTTAGGAGTTTCTGAAATAACTGGATGTCAGCGAGTGGAGAAACATTTACCAGAGATGCAAACCTAAATTCAAATACAGAGCAGGGCTGTATTTGAGACAAACAGAGTCTCACAAAAGAACAAAAAACAATCCCTCTGTGTTAATCATCATGAGATTTGACACTGCACAGAGACTTTCATTCCAAAACACTGTGAAACCATGAAAAGTAGAGGCTGACTTTCCACAGACGACACAACAATGCATCAAGCAAAGAGCACACAACAGAGGGAGACACAGCAGCAGGCCTCAGACAGTACAGGACACAAACAACAGGACTCATCTGTGGGAGTCTGCAGCAGAGGCTAACACTCACTCTCTAACAACAGAGTACAATTAAGCCCTGAAAGACAGAGAGCAGACACAGCCTGTTAGCACAAGGATTAGCCGACTCCCAGGAGGAGCTTGCTGCCTCCACGCTGCCTCCTTCTCCATTAAATAATCAATTACTACAGATGGAGCTAAGCAGCGGACATGTTCACATGAGAGAGTCATAACAGGGTGACGATATTATCCAAAGAGCCCCAGTCAAAGCTCAAACAATAGGGAACAATATAGAAAATGTGATGGAATATAGCGTTTTATTACCGCTTGTTTCATGTCTTTATGTGAGGAGGGGTTACAGTCTCCTCATCGCTCCACACAGATCAGATGTTTTTGTCTCCTCAGTGGATGTTTCAGTCAAATGCAGCAACTTTTCCACCTCAGCCAAGCCTTTTCATAGCCTTCTTTTCCTAATATTTCCAGCGTTCCCACTCAGCACCCACCTAAAATTGTCTGAGGCTTGGTTTGAGTGTCCAGGAAGCACACTGCCCGCAGGTCAAAGTGTTGTTTTCTATCCATTTACATTCACTAATGAAGTTTCCATCCAAATTTAGAGCAGATTTTAAACAAATTTCCAGAAAACTGCCAAAAGAAAATGCAAGTTAATGCATGTTATGCAAATAGGACACTGGGCACATCCTACAGTCTATGGGCACATCACGATAAACTCCCAGTCGGTGTCATTAAACCATAACAGGAGAAGAGGGCACAATAGATGATGTAATTAGAAGAGCGCCACTCAGCCTTTGTAAAAACTAAAATGATGTGGGAAAACATGATGGAAACATGACATTTATGTCTATTTTATATATTATTTGAGGAAGGTTAACGTCTTATAATCACTCCTCAGAGATGTTTTTGTCTGCCGCCATTTTTAGTCTCCTCAGTGGACGTTAATGTGTCATATTTTATTTGCTAAATCTGTTTCCATTTCTCTTTGTTGCATTTTGCTTTTCACAATAAACCAAATTGCTATTCTATTTAATTTTTATTTTATTTTATTTCCAGGTGGATGGAAACACACTGGCTAGCAATCTACACCAGTGCTTCTCAATCTTAGACCACAACAACCCTCCACAGGACATGGTATGTCAACCCCCACCTCTAAAACAACACAAAGATATGCATTCAACAGATAACTATTTGTAGAACTTAAATATGCATAACATAAAACATAAAATGCATAACACAGAAGTCACATGTTCGGCCTATCTACAATCATAATAAAAAAGGTTTTAAGCTATGTTGTAATATGGATTACACATATTCAACTAAAAATCAACAGTGAGTAAATATGCTTATTGGTTAAATAAATGCATTTGTTTTATTTTCTAAAACAGTAAAATTAGCTTGATTTGATGTGAACAAGAATAAATAAAGCAAAACACAGAGAGGTCACAGAACAGTGATGTGTCCCCGTCTTTGGTTAGAAGCATGCTCAGAGAAGCTACAGAAGTGAGACAGAACACAAAACACAACATCTTATAATATATTTCATTTGTTTCTTAATCTCAGTCTCCTCCTGCTGTTCCCACACACATCACCCTGCTGCTGAACTTGAAACAGTTTTTTGTTGTAATCCTATTTTTCTGTTTCTTTGTTTTTGTTTTGTTTCTCTTTTGATGTTCTGAGGTTTAATTGAGTTTAATTCCACTGTTTCTAAAGAAAACATTTCAAACTAGAAATACCGTCCCACGGTTCTAAGCCTCCACACACCGCCAAGTTTCTCTTACGGTTTTTATCCATGTCTGTGAAAACATGAACGCTTCACACACATCTTCAACCTGGCAGCACAGAAGATCTCTATCCATCTACAATCAGCACAATTTCAAGGTGGACACTCCAGATTAGAGTCACCAATTCAGTGTCTGACCAAATGTCTTCCCTTCTGTTTCTGACGTATGACGTTGAGTAATGACCAGAAAAGTCGATGTCAAAGTGAAGCTGATCTTTGACCGTTTGGATATAAAATGTCACTTCATTATTATATCCTGTTAGACATTTGTGTGAAGTTTTGTCGTCATCAGTGTAAGAATTCTTGAGTTATGGCCAAAATCATGTTTTGTGAAGTCACACTGACCTTTGACCTTCTGCCACCAAATTCTAATCAGTTTATTCTTCAGTCCAAGTGGATGGTTTTAAGAAATTCCCTCAAGGTTTTTTTGAGTTGTCATGTTGATCACAGTGACCCTGACCTTTGACCTTTAACTACCAAAATCTAATCAGTTCATCGTTGAGTCCAAGTACATATTTTTGTCAAATTTAAAGACACTCCCTCAGGACGTTCTTGAGATTCATTCACGAGAATGAGACGGACAAACCGACAGCCTGAAAACATAATGCCTCCAGCTGAGGCATAAAAACTGTCTCAGCAGCAGTCAGTACTTGTGCGAGTGTAAATTACCCTTCTGCCTGCTGAATTTTAAAGTGCTGTGTTGTGTGTGACTCACTGTATGTGTTCCAGAGGATGTAGAGAGGCTGGATTGAGTCCTGGTGCAGCTTGAGGTTGTCCCACAGGATCTGGATCAACACGTGTTTACTGTCCTCCGACATCCAGTGACGAGGGACCTGACAAGAGAAAGAGAGTTACTGTGAGTCAGTCGTGTCATTTACAGACAGGATACCCATTTCCACTGTCGCCTGTGTCACTGCATTTAACCAACACTACATCATTATTGGTAAATCCTGGGTTGGACTTCAGTTAAAAATCTAACTTTAACCCTTTAATAAACAAAAGTGAGATCAGTTGTGAAATTTGGATTTTAAAGAGCAACTTAACAGCATCTCAAAATCTTGTTTTAACTAACCTCCAGCGTTTTAACCTTGTTGGAGTGATGTAAAAGGTACTTTAAGGTGCATCAGTACACTATGGCATCACTGCTGAGTGTGATTATACTGTAGGTGCAACAGACTTAAAACTTTCTAACAGAGAGGGCAGCGATGCTTTTGAGCTCACAACACATTCTAACTTTTTAACAAACTTTGCTATGTACTGTATGTTGTGTGTGTTTGTGTGTGTGTGTGTGTGTGTGTGTGTATGTGTGTGTGTGTGTGTGTGTGAGACCTGGGAGTCTGTGTTGCAGTGCTCAGAGGTGAGGATGAGACCGGGCAGGTTGCTGGGCAGGTCCAGTCGTCTGAAGTACCACACCAGGTTCCAGTAGATGATGGGATGGTGGTCCACCATGTCGGCCTCTGTGATCACCGGGTCGCCCTCATTCTCCAGCAGACTCTCCAGCTCCTTCCACAGCACCAGCGGGCTCAGGTAGGGAACCGTCACTGGCTCGGGGTTGTGGAGCCGCCACTCCATACTCAGCGGGTCCTGGGTGGGACAAAAATGATCGAGGTGAGATTTCTAATTGTCTTATGTAAATGAGCTGCTGCTGAGCTCTGTAAAATGTCTGGTACCTTGTCAGGATCACAGGCTGTGAATAAAAGTAGACACAGCGAGGAGACTGTTCTTAACTTCACTCCCTCCGTGTATTTTTAATGTGGACAGGGCAGTTAAAATGAGGGAAAATGTGAAGTCAAGTTGGACTTAAACCATAAAACCTGATCTAAGCCTAGACGACCTGGCAATCACTCACAGTACCAGCAGTAATGCAGCCCCATAGTAGTATAATAGTAGTGAATGACTCAAATACTCCGACATGTTTACGTCTGTACCATGGCTTCATTGAGACGGCTGGGCAGGCTGCCTGACGTCGGCATACAGCGGTTGACTCGGGAAGCTTCGTCCAGAGGACCGAAGGCGCTGACACTGCGAGCCATGGGCGCTCCGGGAGACAGCGACCCCTGCCGGCGCTCTGAGGGGATGTTGATACCTTGAGCCCTGGTTGATCGAGTCCTGTAAGGACACGGGGACAGTCAGTTTGTGTCATCAACATTTAAAACATCATAATTATTCCTGAGGAAAGGGTGTTTCTAGTTTGCAACACAGTGAGTCAAGGTGTAGTGTAGTTTTACTATTTTATAAAAAGGTAACACAGACAACACAGAATCCAGATATTCAAATCACAAACACAAAAACAAAACACAACTTTTGTTGCCTGATATTTAGGCACCAGGATATCATGCACTGTTCATCCCTGTTGCTCACACATTTCATAACCATATGAGGGTTTAAACAACCATGTGTTCTCTCTGTTCCCGACACTCACACACACACACTCACTCACACACGCACACACACACAGAGCTTTGTTTGGACCAGGTGCTGTAGACCATCTCACATCGCTGTTTTACAATGCAGATAGGGAGCATGTGGACGCAGCTACAGTGGGTTCCTACTTCAAAAGCATTGTGTAATCAGACAAACTGGGAGCTGAATGAAGACGAACTGAAAAAGGTGTCATACAGAATATCTGAGAAAAGTTTTTTTTTTCTCCTAAAAATGTCAGGTTTTCTGCTTGTATTAAATCTTCTCTGCTGCCTTCCCACCAAACCAGTCTGAACTACAACTTATTAAATACTACAGCTAACAAAACAGAAAACTTATAAATGTTAGGACCAGCATGAACATAAATGAAGAATGTGCAGTAACACTGGGAGACAGTGAGTACCTTCCAGCCCCTGAGCACTCCTGGACAGCGATCACAGGGGACGGAGGAAAGACTGCAGTTGTAGGACAGGGGGTGGACAAGGTGGACGTCCCCGTGTCCAAACCTGTGGAGGCAGAGTACGACGAGGTCATTGCCTCGTCCACTGATGGGCTGCCCTTCAGGAAAAGCCTGCGGAGAGGAGAAGAAAGGGGGGAATTACATTTATATCCAGGGAAGTCAAGTCAGGTGTTAATTTTCTGCAGGCCAGAATAATTTATTTTATGAGATGGTTTACTGTCCAGCAGGGGCAGAAATTATTAAGGAGTAAAATGCATCTTATTGAGACTCAAAGTCTCATTTTTATTACAGGCACTGAAAACCTAGGGTTCATCTCAATGCCTGATCTCGCATCCACGTTTCCCTCTTCGTTGCCTCTTCCTTGTGTCTTAGCTCTGCCCTCATAAAACACAGGGGAGAGATGCGAGGCTGAGACGCGAGGAGAGAAGAAACAAGGAGATTTGTCTTTAGAGAAATGAGACGTCCTTTCCTCTAAAGCGTCACATGAAGCCACGTCCGTTTCTGATGACAGCAGCAGCTGATCACAGCTAGATCAGCTGGCAGGAGGCTTTATTAACAGCTATAGAAACTTTTAATTGAGTTTGTGACTGCACACACATAATGTTATATGTTATATGTACATCCTCTTCAGTTCTTCTGCAGTCCAGAACTGAAGAAGCCTCTTGGATTAGAGGTGACACATCTTCAAGAAACTCAAGCAAGTCAAAGTTGCCTACAATATAGCACTTAAGATTACCATGACTTGGATAACTAAGAATCTTCACCAACAAGTACGAAAAATCTTATATCTGGAGGGGAAAAATAAAATACAGTACAAAGAAACACAGTACAAAGAGGAGAATGGCTTCATCCACTGAGGTTTAAATGCTACAGATCTTTTGATAATTTGGCAATGTGCAATAAAAACGTATTATTCCATATTTGACCTAGAAAAGGCAATCACATAAAAACAAATACAATATAATTACCGCACCCCTCTGAAAAAAGGAATTCATAACTCTGTCACAAAATTTATTTTTTACAGCAGGTCAGCACTGCAGTGTCATCATCTACCTGCCGGGTCCTCGCATATCCCTGATCTCCACGTTGAGGAAGGGCAGGAAGGGGTTTCCACAAAAGGGACAGGTGGTGTTCAGGTTGGAGTCGTCTGCTGTCCAGCCGGCCATGATCTCCTCATCGTACACCAGGCAGTCACACGTCTTACAGCGAGAACAGCTGGAAATCAGCAGCTGGAAGCACACACACACACACACACACACACACACACACACACAGAGGCAGGTGAGCTTACAGATGAAAGGTGATAAAGATGTTAAATAATATCTAAATCACTTCTGAAAGCTGTTATATTGTAAATGTAAAAAATACTGTACATGATAACATTTCTGATTAGTGATTATGAGTACTTTTAATTCTATCCTAAAATATGCCTGCTGTTGTAGTAAAAGGCTGATTCAACAAGACTTCACTGAACACAATAATGCAGTCTGCTGCTCTGCCCTCAGGTTTATATATACTGTAGGTTTGAACTGTTGTAGCCAAATATACCACTGTAATAAAATATTCTGCTGAGGGAGAATATTCATGATTAGCTTGCAGAGCAGTCTGCCATTCCTGAAAGTTATGAAAGCTTTTTCTGAAACTATCAATTTCTAGTGAAATTCCATCAGAGAATTCATTCCTGGCGACATGACATGGGCCAGCACCCACTTTATATCTTCGTATCTTCAGCAGGAAGCCAAAGTGGATGCAGAAAAAGCATTTCAATCCAAGATGTCTGTAAAGTGGTTCTAAACATTCATTTTATTTTTGTTAAAATGTAAATTTGTACAAAAAACATTTTGTATCAAACCATCATTTCTGGGTTCCTGACATCCAGTTTTGAACTGTTGAACTGTACTTTTCTGCTTTCCATCTTGCAGTTTTACCTCCATGGCGTAGTTGTTGAAGATGCTGGTGTTGCTGGTGTACCGTGACGAGCCGAGGTCCGACTTTTCTGGCAGAGGGAAGCCGGGGGGCGAGAGGACACATTCTGCAGGAGTACGAAGGATGATTACAATTTGTGACGGTACATAAGGAGTCAAGACATCACTAACAGTACATATTTATCTATATATTTACATACATATTAAATATTTCTTGATGCATTTTAGAAAGAAAAGGTCATATTGTGACAACATGACAGGATTCCTTAATCCAATTTGCACTGGTGACAGCTCTACTGTAAATTGTTTGGGGGTACTAGGGAGGCATTTTTTATGTTTTCTTATCTTTTTTAAATAAACTTTAATACAGTGTGCTTGTTATGTTCTGTTCTCATTGTTTGTCACTAAGCAAGAGGTGATGACGATAAAGACTGAATGTAGAATCCAGAGTGACAACAGTGAAATGATGAAACATTTTGTTTAGAAAATGGGTCACAGAGTTGACTGTTGTTTTGAAATTTGATCCTAATAGAAACCACGAAAGCTGTTAATGTCTCCTGTCACTGGAGCGAGGGTCGCTCTTACCAGGGAGCAGAGATGAGGGTCTCCCGACGTTGGAGCCTGCAGGGGGGCTGTCCAGTCTGCTGCGGAGAGGGCTGCGTCTGGGGCTCCTGCGGGGTCCATTCCTCGGTGGAGAGATCACGGAGCCCTCTGACTCCCCACAGTCCGCCTCATCCAACAGGGAAGAGCAGTCTGGATCTCCAACACCGAGAGAGGACACACTCAGTCGGTCACTGTGACCGTCCTGAAGGAGCAGAGAAGAGCCAGGCAGGTTAATATCATCATGGACTGCACAGGTGTCTAATCTTAAAATCATAATAGTCACAGCAAAGAGCCAAGTTCAGCACGTACTAACAACAGAGTGCTCACAGGAAATATAACACAAATACAAACCCTGATATGTTTTACAAGAAGCAAACAACCTGAAAAACTGCATCTATCTTCCCTATGACATTAAGCACACAAGCCTTGAAGTGTCATATAACAACGCTACAAAAGAAACCCACAAACTGTGCTGCTGATTAAGATGAATAGAAGCTTTAGTGAAAAGTTCACACACTGTCACATTGCCTGATCCACATTTTAGCACCGTGTCAGCACTGAACAAAAGGGCTGGCAGGCGGCTGATATCACAGTACATTTTGTACGTGGCAGGATGATTAATGCCGCCTGTGTGGTACAAGGGGAGTTTTTTGTTGTTGTTAATAGATTTTGGAAACAGTAACACCCAGAGAGCAGACAAGTTGGTAAATGGAGGCTTTTACACAGGAAAAAAAATACTGTGACACCCAAAAAAGGCCACAAGATGGCAGCAACACTTCATCTTCAAGCTACTGAGAGCCTTAGAAACTGGTCTGCCGCAGTGCTAAAATACAATTTCACCAGTGTTCATGCAGGTTTAGCCCATTTATTACAGGTCATACTTGCATTGCATTGCTGAACACTAATAGATTGAGATGTGTCAGATTTTTCTTCTTTTTGTCTTTTTTCAATTAAAATGAAAAATATAGGTTAAAATTAGGTCACTATTTCTATATAAGCTATTTGGAGCACTGTGCTCTGAAAAGTAGAATATGACAGATTCATTTCTCTGACTCACATAACAATTTTATCTGAGTGATCTTGAAAATACTGGGGCACAGAAATATGGTCACAGATAAATGAAGGTTGAGAGAGTTTTGAGCCACTGGTTACCAATTATTTTCTGTATGTTATCAAACTATTTAGCAGAGACTAAAAACCTGCATGTGTTGGGTAACCAATGACCTTTTTTGTTGCTTGGTAATCTCTATTTTAATCTGCATTACCAAATTACAATGACTTAAAGGTGGCGTTGTTGATATTTGAACTCAACACCCAAACAAATATACCTCACCCATCAGTGCTCCTTCAGAAGTTTCAGTAATATCTGCAATGTTATTTATGTTTCATTACTATCATGGTGTCGTTCTGTTCCTCATGGGCGAGGACATGGAAGAGGGAGATTAGCATGCACAGTGTTGTGCAGCTCAGTCGGAGCCACTTTGTTTGTTTCCCATTTACAGGGCTGTTTATGAGTGCTAGATTTTCAGAGCACACGCAGATCAGACAGCTGGGAGATATCTAAATTTAGCAAAAACTGTATTGGAATAGAATCAGACTTTAACAACAAGACTCTGTACCTTGGTAGGTGTGGTGTAAGTGGCGAGACGGGAGTACCAGCGGCTTGCCTTCTCTGCCACACCCTTCCCAGCAGAGACCATGCTGGTCTTAAAGACATCAAGCGTTGGTGTGAGCAGAGTGTCCAGAGCAAAAGAGGAGGAGGAGGGCGAAGGTGACGCCAGGCTCATCCTGTCTGCCCTCTCCCTGTAGGGGCTAGGTCGAGGGCTGGCACTGGGAGTTGTGCTAGAGCTGCGACAGGAAGGAGATGACAAGAGGCGCTGGCGTGAGATGGGCTGGGAGGGCGAGGGAGGGTGGAAGGTGCGGGAGCGTGGCATCCCAGCAGTCCTTAGGGGGGAGGTGTGGGGTAGGCTGGCTCTGCGGGGGGCAGAGAGTGAGGAAGGGTGGAGGAGGAGAGGGCTGGCCGGGTCCGGCAGATCCAGACTGGGTGTACGGCTGCTCAGCGGGCTGCCCATGTGGTTCATGTATAGCTCGATCTCTCTGGCCAGGTGCCTGCGGGCACTCGGCGTGCTGGCCCCTTCCCCCTCTGGGTACTGATCCTCATTTTGCTGCTCAGTTTGTGACTCTGCTGCCAGCAGGGATAGAGGGTCGTAACCTGTCTGTATGTCTGTGCGCTTCACAGTTCCTCTGGACGTCACAGAGCTTATGCCACCGTAGCTGATGCTGCGTTTGACAGGTTTCTTATGAGATTTGCTCAGTTTGTGGGAGCTCATACCAGCCCCTGTGGCAGGCTTGTCTAAGTCCAGGTCCTCCAAGTCAAAAATGGCGTCTGTGTTACTTCTGTCCTCATCACTGGAGTCCTGTCCCTCCCTCTCCTCGTCCTCCTCCCTGTGTTCCTGACATTTAGAGGCACCTACCTTAGCCGCCACTGCCTCTAACCCGCCCAGAGCCAGTGAACGAGGCCTCTTACTCTTACTGAAGTTGGCACCGGAAAGAATTTTGACGTCTGCGCCCAGGTGTCCTGCGATTTTGTCTGGGTCAGTTTCACCCTGGCTCATACCCAGACCGAGGACAGTGGTGCCACTGCCGCAGCTGCCCACCGCATCACCGCTCAGCCGGAGGCCTCTCACACCCTGCCAGTCAAGAGCCGAGCCGCTGCTGGCGCTGCCCACCACCTCTTCCAGAGCACTCTTATGTCTCCTGAGCAAACTGTTGGTATGAACCTCACCGATCTCATCCAGGGAGGAAGTGAAGAGGAGACCTGCAACATGGCCTGCGATAGAGGCAGGGGAAGAAGTGACATAAGTGAGCAATTACAAAGCTGGGAGAAGGAGCGTTTTAGAGAAACAACCCATCACTACACTTAAAATTCTACTGCATGGGCCACTCACAGCAAGCAGAAGTTAGATGGTACATTCAGCAGTTAAAGTCAAATCAGTTTCACATTCTGACAACAAGCTAAGATCAGCTCAGACCAATGATTCGTGATGAGACGAGTTGAAACTTGCAACTACGTGCAATGCCCCTGTCTTCAATCTTTTAAAACCTGCCAGTTTACACTAGCTACGGTGGAGACAATACACCGTTTTGTGTAGTTGCATTGGTGTAAACCTGCCAGTTTACACCAATGCAACTACACAAAACGGTGTATCGTCTCCATAGCAACATCGTCTGGCTTTTCAGGTACAAATAACGACTGTACGAGAGTACTTTGTTTTTTGATTAGGTGATGTCTAACATGAAAATGCGCAGCCAGTAGCAGCAACAACAAGCCATACACATACTGACACGGAGTGAGGATGGAGACCTACATACGTGTCAACCGCCGAGAGGCTGAACATGAGTCTGGCTCGGCAGGGACAGAAAGCTGTTGTCAGAGAATGCCACGGCAAGTGAGCACGACGTCTACTGACAGTCTGTAATTGACCTCGCCAGTTGAGTTCACTACAAACTGATTGGTTGTTCAAACAGCTGACGTGCCTCACATTCTAAAACCAGCCACTGGTGACTTGACAGGCTGAGTAGCAGCTAACGCCGTCACCCAGCTTGAGTCAAGCTGAGACGAGCCAATTCACACTGCTGTAACGTTCTAAAGTGGTGTTGTCCCATCGCAAATCTTTGGTCTGAACTGGGCTTTAATAAGCTGCAGCTCTCATAATTTAATCCAGCTTCCTCTCCATAGCAACAGCAGCCGAGGCTCATGGGTAATGAAATAATTAAAACTGATGATCTGAGATCTACAGTATCAGTAAGTTAGAAGACTTCTGTTGTTGAGAAACATTGAGGACAAAATGAAAAGAAAACTGAAGTGGGAATTCACAGTGGAGAAAATCATCTCCACCCACTCTGCAGAACTATTTAATCTATTTAGGTTTTCTTCTTTACCTGCGCTGGCGGAGCTCTTGGGTTTACACGATGAATCGTCGTATGGACAGCTGCTGCGAACAATGCCGCGGGGTTTGAAGGACTGAACCTCCATGTCCAGCTGAGGGAGACAGTCTTTACTCCCCTTGGCACTCTCTGTCTCTGACACTGCAAACACAGAAATTACAATTTAAAATCAGTCCTTTTTTTTGTTAATGTGCGGCACAGCTTGAAACACGGTACTGCTCTTCAAAAAAAAATCCACTGAAGGACAACACACGACTGAAAAGCTTTGATATTGAGGAACTAAAAGGAATGAATCATCTCTGGAGGAGAAGATCAAGGCAGAGGTAAGGGAAATCCCGTGTGGCTGCTGGGCTGCCAAGTTATCATTTCTTAGAAGGTATAGCAGACAGAAATATCAGATGATATTAGATCAGACAGACTACTGACAGGAGCTGCAGTCGCTCTCCTTCTTGTCATCTTTGTCAGGGGCGGACTCCTGAGCAGTGGGGTCTCCTCTCCGAACCTCCTCTTTGGACAGGGAGTTATAACCCAAATCTGATTGATCCCCTAGACAAAAAAAGAGAAAAACACAGTTGAAATTAGATGAGAGGAAGACAACAGGGTCTAATATTAAACCACAAGATCACAGAAATATGCAACACAACGCATGGAAATCTATGCAGAGGATTCAAGTACAACATTTTCAAGATGTCTTTTCTCTCAAAATAGCTGCCCTTCAACAACATCGTACGAGACACAACCTGTTCAGACTTAAAGGCCAAGTTCTTTGTTTAACTGAACTCAACAAAAACAGCTTTTCGGTGTAAACAGTTTCAGCCTATTGTGACTTTACCCTGTGGTAGGAGATGTAAATGAAACATACATAAAAGAAAAAGCTAGTGAGGCGTTTCTTCCCTTTCATCTCCTCAATTCTGGGAGGCACATCACTGTTGCAGAGGAGAGGAAATAGCAGCTAAGCTGTGCTGGATAAAAAGAATCCTCCTCAGGGCATGCAGATATCTACAGTTACTGTAAGGAAACTAACTGCGGTTTCACAGCTGCTAATGAATTTAACTGTTAGGACTTGACGTTGGGGGAAAAAAAACCTGCCGTCACTCCAGGCTGACTCTTCCATCTGTCTCTAAAACTTCCCCGGGTCTCCAGGCAACCAGCTGTCTGCTGATTTGTTCTCCTCTTTCATCTTTTCCGTGAACCTTCATCTCTAAATAAAGCATGAGGCTGCACAGCTCGGCTGTAATACAGTATGGAGTTACTTGCAACTGATGGCAAGAGACAAAACTCATTTCAGGAATGTAATAATCAATGATCTGCACATTGTGGTCCCTCCCTCCTGCTGCGCTGGGAGCTATGGTTCCCTCGCAGTCTTTCTGCACGTCTCCTGCCACGGTGCCATCTCCATGATTAAAATGATTTCCGTAATCAAAAAGAATGTGCCTCTGGGTAATTGCTCGCCATAACTGAAAATGACAAATCACTCTGTGGTGAAGCGAAGAGTGAGAGTGAGGGAGAAAAAAGAGATGAGCAAGAGAGGAGCAGCAGACTGTGATGTGTCGAATAGAGAGATGACACAGAGAAGGACAGAGGGGCCAGATCACAGAGACCGAAATGAGAGCGTGTCGATGAAAGGGCTGAAGACGACAGGAAATAAAAACGTTGCAGAGCAGGTAAGATGAGACGGAGAAATGCAACCAGAGAGAGACAGACATGCAGACTGACAGAGAGGTTTACCTGGGTGGAGGGTGGCTTCTCTGAGCTCAGAGCCCCCCCAGTGTGAGTGGGCCACCGGGGCCCTGGTGCCCGCGCCGCCGCCCCCACGGCCGACTGCATGCAAGGGCAACACAGGCAGGGCCAGAGTGAAGGGCAGGGTTAGGGACAGAGCACAGCAGAAACCACAGCCGCAAAACCAGGGTGAGACATGGATGGATAACAGGGACGAAAGGAAGGTTGAAAAAACAGGCAGCAGAGGGAAGGAGGTTTAAGAGGAAGAGGGAAAACGAGGAAGAGGCCAGTCGGTGAGTGAATGGGACAAATGGAGGAAGGAGGATAAAAAAATGTCATTGAGAAAGAAGAAAAAGATGTAGAACAAGATGGCTGCCTGTGAAAGACTGAGTCAAGCAGCAGCCATGTTGAGTGTACCTGTGCTAGATCTATCGTCAGTGGGGTCTACTTTGGCGGAGTCAGTGGTGTAGGGGCCCTGCTCAGCCAGGTTAGTGTCGGCAGAGCTATCCAGGCTGCCGTGACTCACAGCGTCCAGGTCACTGCCATCTGCCCAAAGACAACAAGGCGTTAAAAGAAGCTAGCCGCCACTTCTGCTCCACAACTCCTCTTCTTTTTATGCTTTCGATATGTTTTTGTGTTGATAAGCAGGTGACAATAACTGTCCCATCGAGTCTACGGTGTTTTTAACAGCAGGAACAAACAGTATTTTGATGCTGTCTTACTTCTCTTATTTGATTTAAATCCAGTTGAACCAGCACAAACACTAAGAATGATCAACAACATGAGAAAGAATGTTTAAAAGCTGAAAAAAATACTTAATGCATAAAGCTGAGATGTGACTAATGATAATGAATAAATTCGTCCCACTAGGATAAAACAGCAGTTGTAACACTTTCATTTACGAGTCCCATAGTTTCCTAACACTTTAATAGAGAGGAACTGATGTGCAACTATAAATACTTAGGACAATTAAGATGTAAATTGGTACTAATTACATGGAAAACAAAGACTGACTAAAGTGTGAGACTCCAATTCCAATTAACTCCTAGCATTAACTAGAGTTTTTTCGTCAGTGCACAGCATGTGAGACGAACAAGTGACTAAATTTCCCTCTGTAAGTGCCAAATTACATAATTACTTCCAGGAAACCTCTTGGAAATTAAAAGAAAATAACAGGACACATTACAATAATAACTGGCCTGTAGTTTAACCTCTTATGTCACTGTGAGAACATATTATGTATGATGTGTAGGATGGGAGTGGACTGGGAGCGTGGCTTGTGTCTCTTATTGGTGTGTAAAGATGAGCGTGTTTTACAGGAACCTTTGTCTCTTTCAAACTGAGGAGCATTTTAGAACACAATGCTTACAACTGGTCACAGGGAGTATTTTTAAGAAGCAGGGATTAGCAGGGACTGGGATTAGCATGCACTGGGTGTGCAGGTGTTCACTTGCATGCAGGGGAGTTAAATCACACATGTTGAGGTAGTTGAGTTTTACAGTTTTACCTGTTCAACTCTGCCAGACATTAATTACAGCTGATGAATTGGATTATTAAACACGATGGATAGTTTGACGTCCTTGTCTGAGCTTGAGATAGCTGGATGTGACTGTGACATTGTAGAAGGACTCAGAGTTGTTACCTCCGCCAGGCAAAAGCCTGGAGGGGATCATGCATTCGATCGTGTGTGCGTACCTGTGTGCATGCATGTATCTGAATATCCACAGCTAATCTGTATACGACTGGACGCACCAGCCTCATATTTTTTTCCCAATGTCAGTGTGGGTTTTCTCCGGGTACTCCAGCTTCCTCCCACAGTCCAAAGACATGCAGGTTAACTGGTGACTCTAAATTGTCCGTAGGTGTGAATGTGAGTGTGAATGGTTGTCTGTCTCTATGTGTCAGCCCTGTGATAGTCTGGTGACCTGTCCAGGGTGTACCCTGCCTCTCGCCCAATGTCAGCTGGGATAGGCTCCAGCCCTCCCACGACCCCCAACAGGATAAGCAGTTACAGAAAATTAATGAATGAACTATTTTATTGGTTGCTCTGTTTTATACCATCATTGACTGCTGACTCCTTAATTCTCTTGACTGGCCTGTAAGGGCCACAAATCACCAACAACTGCTTCAGTTTGAGAACTTTTGTCTAGGGACAATATTCGTGGCGGTCATGTTAGTGTTGTTGGATTCTTTTTCACTTTAGGACTGACATTTAGGAATTGTTTGAGGTTAGTTTCTTGTCTACTCTGGCAACACATTGATAATGTATCCTGCATAATGTCTCCCCTTTTTACATGTCAGTCTTGGCTGTGCCGAGTACAGCCATGCCACGACTATTTGTGTTTCCATTATCAGTTTAGACGCACTGTGCCACGCCAAGCCGTGCTAGACATGGACCTTCTCAGGAGTAGGTCCATAAGCTGGGCTGCCTGCCTCAAGCGGGTAGCGGTGACGTCACACTGACTGCAGCCAAACCCCGATAACCCCTGTTTTCCCCTCACAGTCTGCCCTGCACTCCATGTGTCTCACCAACATGCCTGCAGACACACCTGACAGAGATCTGCACTCTACTGAGCGCACTTTTCTAGTTTAACAAGTTAAAATTCTTCATTTTGATCTACAAGTCATCTTTGTGTATATTGTTGAATGTTGAATGATAAATTATCATTAGGGACTCGTCTAAGTGATTTTTGATGTCTCCGATCACTTTGTACCAAATGTGCCAGTATGTAATTTGAGATCCTTTGGCCAGAGGTCTTTTTTCCGGGCCCCGAAAGGGGCCAAAGCATTTTTAGTCAGGGCCCCGAGGCTCTGGAACAATTTGCCCAAGGAAATCAGGTCAGCTGTGTCAGTGATCTCTTTTAAGTCTCTTCATAAAACATACTCTATCCTGATTTCACATGAGTTTTAATTTTCTTTTTACTGTCTTCTGTATTGTTGCAGGTCTGTGCATCAGATTCTCTTCATGACTAACTGAGACGTTCCGTTTTTCAGACATGCAGAATGTTACTGATCACAGTTACCTGACAGAGGGCTCTGGGTGAGGGGAGCATGTCGTCGCAGCGCCCGTTTGAACTGTGCCACGCCCAAAACGACATTTCTCAGCTTCATCCACAGGAAGTATCCTCCTCTGGTGCTAGAGGGCCACGTGCTCTCCAACACCGCCTGGACACCAGCAGGAGACACACAGAGGAGAAGGAAAAATATCAGAAGGAGGGAGGAGATCAGGGTGACTGAAGGGAATAAAAGGCTGCTGCGAAATTACTTTTTAAAGCGATCACATTTTCTTGAAGCAGTGAGGCAAGTCGTTCATTTTTAATTCAAATAATGGAAATTATGGAAGGTTTTTTTTTTGTTCCACCACCTTCCACCATGAAATGTTCTTACATTCATCTGTTAAATAAATCACTGAACATGAAGCGTCTGAACACAGTGAGAGTATAGTGTGAAGTGCAGCTCCAGCTTCATTCATTCATTTTCAACAAAACATTTTGTGTTGACAGTTTCAGTTCACTCACAATCACTGGGTGAACTAAAACTGACCCAACGTCTGCTCCGTATAAACTCATCTTGCATGAATTTTTCATCAAAGGCTTTAACTGCAGCAGTGTTCGTTCCACAGTCACTCTCAACGTCAGGAAGGGAAAAGGAAAGGCACTGCAGCTGTTGGTGGCCAAGTCACGTTCAACAGTCTCTGTCTGCTCTTAAAATACACTTCAGAACCCCCCTGAGAAAAAACACGATTGGTATGCCACTGACTGGTCTTATTATGCTGGCTGCTCCTGTGTGAAGGCCTTCAGGATTTGGGCCAGGTGAAATGAGGCTGTTACCAGCGATGTTAAGACAACTGAAACATAACAATATGGCCACAGGCACACTAACTGTATGATGTGATGTAGGATGGCATAAAAAACAGACACCACCCAAGAATAACTGCCACCTCTTTCATATCTGATCATTGGATATGAAGCTACAGCCAAGAGATGGTCAGCTTGTGAAAATAACTACCAGGGCTTCAACACTAGAAACATGTGGGCTGGACTGAGATCCAACACTGACGACAAAAGGGGCGTTAGCAGTGCTGAGGTAATGTCTGCATCTCTCCCAGATGACCCGGACACGTTCTATGCAAAGTATGAAAACAACTCCCCGGACACCTGCCCACTGGTAATATCCTGTGTGCAGGTCTTTTAAAGGGATTAACCCACGCAAGGCACCTGGACCTGATGGCATCTCTGCTGAGCTCTCAAGGTGTGTGCAGACCAGCCGGCAGATGCTTTTTACAGGCATTTTCTACCAATCGCTGCTCCACTGTTTGCTGTCCACTGTCTCTGTCCCCCAAAAGACCACCCAAGACCCCCCAGAGCTCACATATTACAGTAGTTTTTCATTTCCAATCATAAACAAACCTCTATTAAGTGATTACAAGACTGGTTGATGGGTAATATTTATCAAAAGGCTGGCTCTTATTAGCTACCTGTTGTGGAGAACATTTATTTACACAGATATGTGCATGAAGGGTTTGTGTGGTTTCTCATCCAAATAATAGTGCTGTTTTTGTGGAGTCTAACCCACCAAGGCCAAAACAAAGTGTACTGTAGATAAAAAGAGGTAGCTGTTCAAAGTTTCCTGCTGTGGTGTGAAACCCTGACCAAGTCTATCTTGACTTAATGATGTCGATACTTCTTGGTTTGTTATTGTTGTTTCTCCACAGGATTGAACTCTGTTTTTTCCACTGTTGTTAGTCTGAAAAGTACCATCTAAAGAAATAAATGGGTATGAAAAAATGTGAAATAAATTGTGTGTAAAAATGCTTGATGCTCCCAGACTGGATTACACCTCAACAACATCCCAGAAACCCAATGACTGGTGGAAAACTTAAACTATGTTTTGTTTTCTTGCGCTGCATATAATAATCTGATACCTGGCTGGTGTTTTCAGCAACTTTGTGTTATCTTGTAAATCTATGTCTCCTGATGACCTTCAATGTTGAGTGAATGTCATTTTTTAATTTATTTTTTTCTCTTATTATTACCACTATCTCTCCTGAGCCCAGAAAACACTGTAGAAATTGACTTGAATTGAATCATGCTATTACACAGTGCCTCGCCTCAGGTGCCGTTCTGCAGAGAACAGGTATATTTAAATGGAAAATGACAGGAACACAGGTCACTACAGCGAAGAGTGATGACTCTGGCATGGAGTAGTTTTTATAGGGAGGCATCAAGGTTATCTTAGCTCCAATTTCCTACACAGGTTTTATGTTCTTTTCAGTTTCAGGAAGAATTTAGTTTTCTGGAGCAACTAAATACTTCTTATTTCTCAGTTTTGTTCTTACTTATTGCAGTTTTACTTTAGAAACCTGAGTTAACAACAAACCATGTAGATTTTATAAATAGGTAAGCGCTTATGCATACACAGACACCTCTTCCCTCCTCCTTCACATTGTTGGACTAAAGGGGGAAAAAAATGATGCTGTCCGAGGCAGCAGCTGCACTGGATACTGCTCGTGTCAGTGGAGGAATCAGCCACCTTGTCCCTCAAGCCTTCTATTTCCAAGATAAAATAAGATCCTCCAAGGCGTCAAAACACAACAGAGCAACCTTTATTGCCTCCTTGTCTCCTGACAGCCTGGTCCCACATCAGCCAATTTACTTTTTTTGCTCCCTGGGTTGCCAAATCAGGGACAGGTTGGGATGATAACAGAGCCACGATTCATCCTGACACCTGGGGACGATCGCACATGACGGCGTACAACCTCGAGGGGGACACCGCAAATGGCACCAATGTTTCGTTTTATCTGCGAGCCGAGCGTCTGCAGAGGCATCACTGTGATAAAGTACTGACCAGGGAGGAATTAATTTTAGTGATGGAACAACTGAGCACAACGTTGTAATAATTTGGATGCAATTATTTATGTGGCTATTGTTAATCATGAAAAAACAATCGACATGTGGGCTGCAATCAGTCTGATTTATTATACATCATAAAGTGTTCTGAGGTAGTTTTATCCATCCGAGGCATAGCTTTACCTTTTGAAAAACTGCATTTGATCAGCGTCTTTAAAACTCATTTTACTTGACAAAGTTATTTCATGTAATTTATAATAACATTCCAATACTCATATTTTTCTGCACTCAAATATCGACTTCCTCAAACTTTTATTTATGTCTTTAATCACATCTGATATACAGTGATGTACCCTCTGATGTACTCCACAGTAAGTTTATCATACTTTCTCATATAGTAGCCTGTCACTATGATGCAAATTTGTACAGTAGCCAATTCTCCTGACTTTAATTGTATTTTATTGCTCTGACTAAGCCTGCGTCTTCATCCATTACAGCTGATGGAAAAGGGAGTATCCCATCAGACAGTCTTCCCAGAGATTTGTTTGATGCTCGGCTGTCATGGGTGTGTTCACACATTAGTCAAACTTGCAGCATGATCAGCAGAATATTCTTAACACACCCACATAAGGAACACCACACCCAGGGTGACAGTATAGCACTTGGGAGTCCCAGTGCTAATATATTTATATTAGTGTCTGTGTGAGACACTGCACTGGGAAGGTATTGCTGAGCTGCACCCTTTATCCACCTTTAAATCCAAGGCCACTGTCTTTGTAAATAAGCCTCACTGGCAGATTTACCTCACACCACTTTATTAATCATATATGACATGATTTCCGGCTTCATTAAGGTCAACAGGGGCGTGTTCTGTACCTTGTTGTAGTAGCCGTAAGTGATGGCATTGGGGTGGACTCCAGCTTTCTTCATCTCAAAGAGGACTCTGACCGCCAGGACAGGTTGGCCATACTGCCCACACAGCTGCATCAGAACCCGGTAGCAGACCTGTACAGAAGTTACACATGTGTGATTGTTTAGGCAGAAAGACAACAAGCCCCAGGAACAGACGTTGGTGTGAGACAAGAAGCTAAATTCAAACATTGCTTTCACTGTCAAATATAGCAAAAATCCATGGGAATGGTCAATGTACCTCGTCAGGGGGCTGTAATTTCTTTGCCTGCATCTTCCTGAGGACGTCGTAAGCAGTGCGCAGAGCCCGCACCTTGGAGTGGCACACCTTCACGTATGCTGGCAGACAAATAAACCACAGGCCGTAGCAGTGACGGAGCAGGCACTTAGACCAGAGCTGCGGGATAGACGAGTACTTCTTGGCTATCTTCTGGGCTGATTTGATCTCCTGAGATTGAAAAGAAAAACAAGTTCTCTTCACAAATTAGGCTCATAGACATGTTGGATTTCTAGTTAGAGATAATGTGTGTGTACAAGTTAAATAACAGACATCCATCCCATCACTCTTGACACAGCGAATCATATCAATTTTCTTTCCATTATTACAAAGAAATAAAAATTCCATTTCCTTAGCTATATGATATCTAATCTTAAAAAGCTTTGGGCAGATACCATACAGTTTTTTGCAGTAAATGTGTTATTTTTGCCTATTGTATTTTAATATTTCTGCAGACTGGGGTCCCTGAAGCATCTTGGATTTTGATTAATTGGGTATGACTGAATAGCTGAGACTCTTGCGGATTCAATCAGCCCAATTTTATTCATATGTGATGATGTTAGTCCCAATAGTAGCCATTTCATTGTAGTTAGAACATTTTTGAAAGTCAAACTCACTGTAAAGAAATGGCCTATTGTGACCTCTAGGATAATGACAGCCTCATGAAACTTCACAATCATAAACTAGAGCCCTTAAGCATTCAGGGGATGGATAGATTTCATAGGTATATCGACAATATGGCGGTGTCTCAGCAGTTTCCAGAACAGAGGTGCTTGCCATTCAATCCCCAAAAAAGGCAGCTCTTACAGAAAGCTACAAATGTCATAAAATGATGATGATTTCTGACACCAAATCAAAGCATGGATTGTTATCAGTCCTGGAGTGGTCAAAAACAGTTAATATTTGCACCTAATCTGTGTAATAAATGGTATCAACCCAAATATTTCTGCAACAATTCGCAATGGCCATCAAATACCTACATCATAATGTAATAATCTTTTAAACACAATGCTCATAACATATTTATGAGTAGACAATTTGACACACAGTGCTGAGCTACATCTCAAATGAATCTTCAGGTTCCCAGCTTTCAGATAATGTATACCACTTCCACATGGCATATACAGTTCACCTGTTATCTCCCCCTAAAGACCCTGTCCCCCCCCAAAAAAAGACAAGAATGGGTGAATGGTGGGTCTTTAAGGGTTAAGGCAGTTTTGTATGTAAGCTGAATCGTAAAATTGACTCTCTTGGCTCTTCTTTAGTTTGAGAGTCATTTTTCTTGATCTCTTGTGCAAGTTTGCAGTTTAGAAAACTAACGTACTGTTGCTCTCATCTCAGGTAACTCTGGAGAAGAGCATCAGCTCAGTACCTCGATCAATAAATCATTGTGTGACAAAAGTGAGTTACTGCTATGCTGACCTGCTTGGTGCGTCTGAACATGGGGGCAGGGCTGGTGGGACAGCTGTGCCTGGCAGCGAGGCGAGAGGAGGGGGTCCGCAGGCCCTCCACAGGGTCAAAGAGGTCAAGACTCAACACTGGGAAACCATCGTACCTGTCAGAGAACATGCACAGACACGTTAGTTACAGCAGGCACACAGTGTTTCTCTCAGCTCCGATTGTCTGCAAATACAAAGCACATTTTGCCATTATCTAACATGAAATGATTCTTTCCAAGGTTACGGGGTCCCTAGAAAACAGTTTGCCTGAAATTATCTACAAAGAGAGCTGATAATAAATTCTAGAAAGCTGTTGGTCATTATGGATTATTAGGGGAGCTTAATTTAAGTGGTTCTGAAAATCTTTCAGCATAAATTATTTAGTGGGGAAAATGGGTGCAGAATACAAATAGCACATATTCAGATGCGCACAGTCCAGCAGCAGCATTCAGTCTTTGGTCCCAGTGAGGGAGCTGGACTCCTGCTGGTCCTCAATCAGCTAATGAATTAACCAACTTTCAACTCATTGTATTATTCAGATTCTTCAGTTTCCCTCCTGCTGTGAGGCGTCACTTATGTATTCAGTCAGTCTTGTGGAGGAAGATGGCACTTCACATCAAAGAAGGGCATCTTTCCCATTTACAAATAACATTTAACTTCAAAAGCTTAAGCAGCTGCCTGTTGAGTGATTAAAACACAGACTTTGTTCATGAGTCATGCTACTGGTCAGTCTAATAATAATATGTGTTGTTGTTGTTGCTGTCAGTGTTAAAATATGTTTTACTTAAGCAAAAGTAGCAGTACTACTGGGTAGAAATACTCCGTTACAGGTGTCCATTACTAGTCTTACATAAAGGAATAATTCACCTGCAAAATGCCCATTTGTTTATCAATACACACCACCTGTTATTCATTGCATGTGAAGCTGACTTTGTGCATGCCTCCATGGTTAATGAAGTATACAAACATTCTTAATGAAGTGAAGTTATAGGCAATTAAAACATTTAAAAACAGTAATACTACATCAAAACATCTGTTTACAAACTTTCACACAACTCGTGAAGTGTAATCCAAGTCTCAATCATCAAGTCGTATGCTCAGTACTTCCCAAAACATGCATTTAAGGGTGGGCTTCTCATAGGCAGAAGTGTTTTATTTTGCAACCTTTTAGGAAAAATGCATGTGTCTGGGAAGTACTGAGCATACAACTGGATAAATGAGACGTGGATTATACTGCAGAGGTTGTGTGTGAGAGGTTGTAAACAGATGTTTTGATGTAGTTCTGCTGAATTTAAACACGGTCCTCGTTTACGTGTATTCATCAAGAATGCTCACTTTTTTTGGATTCTTCGTTCACTGTGAAGGGATGCAAGAAAAACAAAGTTTTCTTCACGAATTCGATGTAACACAGGATGAGTAACTGATATAAAAATGGTCATTTTGCTAGTAAATATTCTCTTAAGCTAAAATACAAAAGTACCAGCATTAAAATATACTTGTTACAGTATGAAGAGCACTCATCATGCAGTCCCAATTCAGAAAATTATGTGTTATATTACTGATTTTTTTTTTAATTTATGTATTAAAACATTCATTAATAAATAATGTATCTGGTGGAAAATGTAACCTTGGTTGGTTGTATTTTGAACTACTTATCTGAATCTGCAAAGTAACTAAAGGCGTCAAATAAATGTAGTGGAGTGAAAAGTACAATGTTTGCCTCTGAAATGCAGAAGAAGTATAAAGTAGCATAAAATGGAAACACTCAAGTAAAGTACAAATATCTCAACATTGTACTTAAGTACTGTATTGAGTGAATGTACTTTGTTATACTGCACCACTGAAAAAATGTTTTCATTATTGCATTTGAGAGAAAATGTCAGTTTCATAAATGGAGTTATTACCTGTAGCAGAGTGGATGTTCCTCCCCCTCAGGCAGAGGAGGCAGCTCTGGAGGTGTGATAAAGACTGTGTGCTCACTGCGCTGAGATTCATCAATCTCTATCAGCCTGGTCTCCTCCGGCCTGTCACTGTCCACCTGCAGCACAGAACGCACAAACATGAACAGAGACGCCCGGGTGGTGGTACCATGACCCTTAATCTATCACAGCTGTTAGACAGGGGGAGTGACTCTAACACAGATCTTGACATTATGCCCTGCAATAAATATTTCTGTGTTTACATAAGTGGGCTTTGACACTGACACCGGCGGATTCACCTTCGAAAAGCTTTCTTTTATTTCTGAGGCATAATTTCAAAGCAGCTTTGTAGCCATCACCCTGATAGCAGGATTCCTACAGTATGAGTGTTTGGAAGAGCTGAGGAAGGATGACAGCAGGTGACCTAGATTTCCTGAGTGAGCACGCTTCCCTTTTTCTATCTTTTTTTCTCATTTTTAATACTCACTCTACCTCTCTGCAGTCCACCTCTGTTAGACCCCACACACACACACACACACACACACACACACACACACACACAAAGCTGAGGCTAGCCTGTGCTATTCAGTCCTCCATCGTCCTCCATTTGTCTGCTACAGTGCAATATTTTGTAGGATACTAAGTGAAATTATACCTAATCTCTATAAACTGATATCGACATTTAAACGCAGAATCTGTAGGTGAAAGGACAAGATTTTGGTATCAAAAGTGTTTTGGTTTCTGTTTGTAGTCCAAGTAGTATTGACCAATTACGTCTGAGCAGCACGTACTGTAAACAGTTTGTGTGGAGATGCCGAACGCATTGGCTACAATGCATTCTCAAAATCCATCAGCTATCGTCTGACTACAATTTAGCATTATATTTGCTTGTTTTTTTACCGTAGCATTATCTGCATCTATAACCAGATATTGTTTATAAAAGATAAGCCTAAATGACCAGAACATGGAAGAGGAAGTCTTGGCCCTGATATCCGCTGGCTACACTAGAACCCTAGAAATATTGTCCGTTGCCCTAAGAGGCTTATTGTTGCCACAATGCAAGACTGAATTACACCAATAACATAGTATATTAGAGTTTAATATACAGATTGTGCAATAACATGCTCATATTATCCATCACTGTAAAGTAAAGAATTTGAGCGGGTAGTATACATAGATCTGTATACATGTGCGGTACATAAAACTTCGTACTATATGTTTATAAACTAACATTACATTACTCATGCAATATTAATTACAGCTTTTATTACAGTCTTGTGCGTTCCTGTATTATTTGTACCATTATTTAGAGCAGATACAGTGACAGTTTGACCTGTATGAACTATGTGAAGGTATACTGAGAGCTACAAGAAAGTGGAGTGAAATTCTTTGTATGCATAAACATACTTGACCAATAAAGCTTTGCCAATAGTTACAATACAAGCCTGTTCTCAAGACAATTACTTAAAAGGGTAGTCCAATGATTTAGTATTGCACTTCCATAAAGCTGGGGATGTCTAAGAGATTGATAAAGGGAAAAAAAGCAAATGGTCAAGACTGATGAAGAGGATGCTGAGATATTGTTTAAAACTGGATCCTGCGCTTCCTTTAATGAATCCTAATAGATGTGTTCTCGTTGTTCATTGTTTTCCGAACCCAAAGATTTCATTTCAGTAGTTTCCTTAGACTTAACAACTCTTCAAGAGCCATGAAAGACGTTATTCAACTGTCCTCACAGGCTGAGCAACACTCCTCATGACTAGTAAAGTAAGTAAATGTAAAATCAGTAAATGTAAAAAAGTCCTGCTGTGGTTTGTGTGTGAGAAAATACTTTGACTCACTGACATTAGTCATTCAAAGTGCAGACTATTCAGAAACAGTGAAAATCTTAACAGTGCAGAAAGGATTTATTCAGTTTATACAGATGGATCAATAGGTCGCTTGTCCAGTCAGAGTGTGTCGACTCTATAAATCTAAATCTGCACCCTGGGGGAGCAGCGACACTGTGCGAGCAGCAAGTTTATTCTACTGCAGATATCTGCTGTAGCACAGTAAAAAAATAATTCATCACTGATATATATTCTCATTTATTAATATACAGTGGTGGAGAGGAACTAAATTAATTTTGAGGAGTATTTCCATTTCCTTCTACTTTGTACTTCCACTTCACTACATCTCAACATTAAAGAAACATAAATATCAATGCTTCACTAATTATAATCCATCCATCACATCCATCCATTTTCATCTGCTTATCCAGGGCCAGGTCAAGCAAAGCACCCCAGACGTCCCTCTCTCCAGCAATACTTTCCAGTTCCTCCTGAGGGACCCCAAGGCAGTCCCAAGCAAGGTGAGATATGTAGTCCCTCCTCCCACCAGTGGGACGTAGCCGGAGCACCTCTAACGGGAGGCGCCTTGGAGGCATCCTGATCAGATGCCCCTTGCGATGCGCAGGAGCAGCGGCTCTACTCTGAGCTCCCTCTGGATGTCTGAGTTCCTTACCCTATCTCTAAGGCTGAGCCCAGCCACCCCACGGAGGAAACTCATTTCGGCCACTTGCATCCGCGATCTCATTCTTTCGGTCACTACCCAGAGTTCATAACCATAGATGAGGGTTGGGACGTAGATGAACCAGTAAATCAAAATCCAGTAACATGGTTGATGTTGTTGGTTTGAAACGGGTCATTCTGCATTATGAGTACTTTTACTTTTGATACTCTAAGTAAATTTTTCATGCTAATACTTTTTACTTGTAAGTTTTTCTACACTTAAGTATTGCTACTTTTACTTAAGCGATAGATTTGAGTACTTCTTCCACCACTGTCAATATAAAGCCATTCTACAGTAGTAAAGGATCTACTGAAAAGGGCTCTTGTATGACTTAAGTCCCTGGTAGTCAGTCTTGTGTGTTTGATACACTGCAGGTACGAACCTGCAATCAATTCAGCAGGAGTATTAAATTACTGTAAAGCTGAGTCTCAACCAGCATAACCCCTCATCCAGAAGATAACAGGTTATGGCTGCTCAATTGTGAGAAAAGGGGTTTGATTTCATAACAAATGTGCCAGAAAAAAAACCCCATCTATGTAGCAAAGTGAAATGCAGTAAGAGCAATGGCCGCCACTGATCATCACTGACATTTGGAGTTACTGCACATATTTTACTGCGGCCATGTTGGCAGAGCTGACAAATGAGACTTCCAGTTTTCAGAGTGAATCTTAAAGCAGGAGGTTCGAGCTTTATGGTGGATATAAAAAATTAAGGGTCATGGAGGGAAGCATCATAAATTGAGAAGTGCTTAATGCCAGGCTTTGGAGCTACAAGCAGTGATTTTATTCATGACGGATGGAAGGGAAGTGAAGCACTTGCTGAAAGTTGATAATTCAGTCTTGTTAGTCTGATGATGATTAAAGTTTGATAATGACCTCAGTCAAAGCTGTGAAGTGTGGGAGTTGTATCAAGTGTCTCTTCTTTGGTGCAGTCTCAAGCCTTTCAGGCTTAGATGAAAACTTTCATTATTTCTCTTGTGTGTAATACCGCACATCAAAGGTTAATATAAAGTTCTGTGAGATTTCTCTGAGAAAAGATTAAACCACAATACTAAAAATGAAAAAGCTCCAATATCCGGGGTCAGAGAAGAACCAATACTCTTTTGCACTAGAAAGAACTAGCTGAGATGATTCATGCAGCTGATCAGGGTGTACCTTGGATGTCTCCCCATGGAGATATTCTAAATAGAGACCCACAATACATCGTTCAGACTAAATATTTCATATTAACAGAAAACCAGCCGAAGTGCCAGAGGACATGGCTGGGAAAAGGACATCTGATCATATAAGTGGCAGAAAACAGATGGATGGATGTGTGCAACAGTATTTAACCAAAATGATACCATTGCTGGTCAATTATTGCTAATAAAGATGTTGGTTTGATCCAGAAAATCATCTTAACAACTTTAACTGTCGGAAAAACACTGTTTTTAGGATTTGAAAACTGATTTCTCAGTCAATCTAGTTCATTTTATTGTGTAATCTTAAATGTAATTCTACCATCCTATAATTTACTTTAGGCTGAAGTGATTTTTATTGATGATCATGCAGGTATTTATAGTGATGATTTGTTAGTACAATGCCACCTACTCATCTGGATTACTGCCTAAGTTTGGGTACTGAATCTGTACTTTTAAGAGTGCTGACCAAATTACGTCAATACTACTGAGTACAGATTAACCTTAAGTCAATTAGTGCCAAATTTCGTTGACTAAAGCCTCATTTCCACCGAGCTGTATGGTACGGTACAGATCAACACACTTTTTTTTCCGTTTCCACTGTTAAAAGTTGTGGATGGTACCAATGGAACCGTTCCGTACCGTCCCCATTTTTGGTCCCCTCTCTGTTGGGGTACCTAGCACACAGATCTGGTACTAAAAGGTGGAGCTGTGAACACTGCAGTCTGTTGATTGGTCAATAGAGGACGGTCACTCTGCTCAGGGCTGAGTTGTGGCTGGTTTTGTAACCGCTGTTAATACCATGGAAAGTTTTACATTTAAATCATAACTATAACATGAAAGGATGTTTTGCTGCCTCTTGCAGCAGCTGTACTCTGAGAAAAAATAATTAAATTCAGTGCGCTGATTGCCGGTGACTTTTAAGGTGGATTGTTAACCTGTAATGTTACTCAATGCATGAGTTGATGACGTGAATCCATCAACACACCTTAAAAATTCCATATGACAACATTACTTTAGTTTTTATATGACACACACTTTTAGTAATGAGTTGATCTTCAAATGTTTAAAAATAAACACTATTTTAAAATAGTGTTTATTTTAGTATTTTCTGCCAGGTTATGTGAACTGCACATATCCTAACCCTCACTCGGAGGAAAAAAGCGCGCTGAAGCGTCGTTCCTGTGGGCCACGGCAACACTAAACCCCCAAACTTGCCTGAGAAGGACTAAATGCACACCCCTGTTATTTTGAATTTCCCATGGTGAGAGACTCTCACTGAAGCCTGTTCTATTTTGTATTGAAAATGTCAGTGTGCAACCACTGGTAATGAGGAAATGCAGTGAATGCTGGACGGAGCAGTGAGTGACAACAACCTAGCCCACATCTAAGGGTACTGTTTGTGGTGGAAACACTAAACAGACCTAGGGTCTAGCTCCCATGTCTGAAGGGTTACTTTTGGTTTCAAAGGTACTGTACTAAAAGAGTTTGGGGCTTAAAAGTGCACCTTGGTGAGAACCCAAGGTTCAGATAGGAGGAAGAAGTACCACCAGAACTATTGCTGCTTTTCTATTTTATTTGAGAAATAGCCTTGTACCACTGCTGTTTGTGATTGTGTTTTAAATTATATGCTTATTCCACATATTTGTCAGCTGTGTTGAAACAGAGGACGAGAGAGACCAGCAGACACACACACACACACACACACACACACACACATAAAATCAAGAAGACAGACAGAAATCTTCTATGTGTGATTAGAAAAGAGCAGAGGAGCAGAATTGCTTTTTAGTCTACTACATTACCCCTGGAGCTTGTTCAAAAATGACATTTTTGTTGTTAGCCTACGGAAGGAGTAAGGTACCGGAAAAAGGTACCGTTGGGTACCAGTACCCAGTTCCAGGTATGGGCATTGATCCTGCATATGTTCAAATATGAATGGTACCCAACCCTATCACTGTCTCTTTACTTTAGTCTTGGACTTAATTGTGTTATCCTTATAGTCGTGTGTCATTTGATGTCTTTCTTTTTCTAATGTCAAAAACCTTATCTAAATAATCCCCATGCAGACATGAGAACTAAGAGTTCTGCAGCACCCCCCCTTACTAAATTAAATAATGTGATTTATATCTGTGACTATAAACGCAAGGCAATTTTTGTTTTTTTAATGTGAGACAAACAACACTGTTGCTCCGCAGAGACTGGAGACAGCTGTGATGATGAAGAGGCAATCTGTCAGACAGGCAGGTCTGCTCTCAGTTCAGTCATCAGAAAAGACAAACACAGACAGGTGGGACGACGACATCTTGTTTATGTCTCTCAAAGAACATTCAGTTCATCTGGATCAGACAGGGAGCTTTCCAAGAGGCTGAGTGCACAAAAAAGAGAGACACCCAGTGTCTGCAGAGTGACTGTAGATCAGCTTGTGAAGGTGAATACAGAAACAACTGTGATATCATCTATGCCTTTAAGTCATCCACACTGCTCCATTACATATTCAACCTAAACCATCTGGTGACTGCAAGCTTTAGGAATAGTTCACAAAATCAACCTACAAACACATGCATACAATATTCAAGTTTTTGCCAATATTCCTGTGTGATGCAAACTGAAGTTAAAACCCCAACTGAAAAGTACATTCCAAATGTGCTGTATACATGTCTAAAGAAAACTCCTAAAACCCGAAAAATACTGTCATATTTCACGTCTTAATCGGATAATGCTATATTTGCAAAAAGGCCTAATTCAAAATAATCCAAACGGAGGATGGCCCTGGTACATATTTACCGTAGAGACATGATAGTGGCATCATTCTTGTCTCTAACTCTTGGCAAGAAAGAGAAAAGTGCATTTGTCAAAATGTCAAACGAAATTAAACGCACACTCGCTGACTCTGATATGGCAGCAAATAGTGATCCTAAATACAGGTAGGTATACCTGTAATGTGTATGTTAAATGAATTACTGACTGGCCCTTTAAATTTCCGTTTTGTTTTAAGGAATCCCACAAGTGTTTACATCCAATTTGCCCTTTGCTGTTTGTATTTCTGCAGCTTTAATTGATGTGAGTGTATTTCATTTGTATGATTAGTCTGACTTTTTTCTTTTTCCCCTGCTGGATTCTATTTGTTTTGTTGCTGCAATGAGCTACTTTCCCTCAGGGATCAATATGTTTTAACCTTATCTTTCTGTACGTGACTGGTGTGTGTGTGTGTGTGTGTGTGTGTGTGTATGTTTGTGTGTGTGTGTGGTTGTGTGTAGTCGAGTGTGTCGGTGTGTGGGCTGAGCGGTGCGGTGTGAGAGAGGATAATGTAATCCAGCCACAGTCCAGAAAGACAGTTGGAGGATTTAATCGTCCATGGAGCTGACACACAGGGAGGACCGATGAGACCTGGGGCCCCACCACAAGCCTGAGAACACGGGGAGGGGAGGCTGTAGATGCTGGCCTCTGGAGTCACTTCCACTATGTCTCAATTACAGCCAGAACACACACACACACATACACAAGTAATCCAAGGACGGCCAAGTCTATTTCAGAGTCTGTTACAAATGTCACCTGTAAGAACCAGTGACCCAGAGACGTGACTGGAGAACCGAGCGACTGCGTGGACTTTAAGACTGCAAACGCACAAAATTTAACCTTCAGCATTCACACACAGTCTGATAGAGGAACAACTACCTTGTGAAAACATGGGGTCACACGCTACGCAAAATGCTCCCAGTGGAGCAAAAAAGACCCACTGACAGCCTCTCCAGGGCTCTTCGTATTGGCACACTGACTGATATGAGCCCGGGGGATGTAAAAAAAAAAAAAAAACTAACTTCAAGCTCCGTTAGCCCTTCAGGATTCACTGAAGCGTTAAAAGCATTCACTCTCTCGAGTCATGAAAAATTTAGGGCCGAATCTTTGTAGAAAACTCTGCACATGGATTTTCAATGAAACTACTTTTGCTATCTCGGGCCAAATTGCTGCTGCAGCAAATTTGATGTACACAGTGAATAATCAAATATTCATTAAAAATGGAAGAATCTGGGAAGGTGATGGAGTTTGGATCATTGGGAACAATTTTAATTACACACTGATGAAAAATCACATGAAAGCTCACACTAAAGCTGTAGGGGGAGGTTGTCTTAAGGCATGCTACTAGTTTCTTAGGGTCTAGGAAACCTATTTTGATGTTGAGTCATTCTGTTGTTTACTGGGACCATGCACCATGCACAAATTGCCCTGTCTGAAAACAAAATGTACCAAGGACAGGCAAGATTAGAAAACCAAATGACAATAGACTTACCTTGCCTCCTTTGTCTGCACTCCGCTCTGAATTGTAGAGCTGCTCGCAAACAGAGGCAGAATTGGAAAGAGAAAAAAAAACTCAAGAAATTGGAAAAGGAAAGGCTTTCAGATGAAGTAACACAGCAGAGTGAAAACTAGTGCAATAACTGGAGCACACAGAGGGCTGGCGAGTAAAACAAAACCACTTGAGTGACTGAGATAAAGGTGAGATTAACAGAAACAGCTAGAGAGGAAAAGGAGAAGGTTTTTTGTAAGAAACTTAATTCCACTGCATAAAATAAACACATAAATTTACTATCAATGATTTATATGATTAAAAACAACACTTACTTTGTCCACACAGTCGTCAAAGAAGGCCAAACTGGCGTCTTTGTCGCTGACGAAGGAGCATTCCTCGATAAAGCGGATGAACATCTGAGTTTTGGTCATCAGCGAATAGAACTTCTGGTGTGAGCGGTCGCGGCTCTTCAAAAATCCTGAGGACATAAATGTTTAGATTAACTTTTACAAATTAATCTTCCTTCACTGAAACTTACTTTCTTGACTAACCTGACGAATGATTTTGCAGGTTATTCAGGATAGAGCAGCGGGTTTATTTACACAACTCAACTCATTTCATAAGAGGTAAGCCTCCAGAAAAGCAATTTATGTGATTTTGTGGTTAAGAAATCCATTATCCCAAAGAAGGCTATATATAAACATCAATTTGTCTTGGTTTGGATGATGCAAGCCAACACGTTGTTATTAGTCTAATGGCCAATTTGGTATGTACAACAACATATTGAATGGCTTCCTTAATAGATGCTGAAAGCAACTTAAGTGACTAATAAGTTGCTGCTGCTGCTGTTGCGAGACTGAAAGCAGGATGGATGACCACTGGCTCACAGCGCAGAGGTGGAAGCCAAACACTGACGTGCAGAGCTGCCGGAAAACACTTCCTGAAGCTGATAAATATTTTAATCCTGACACTGGCCGCTAGCAGCCTGGACCATCAATTGATTCTGACCAAACTCCTCTCAATGGCTTCAATATAGAGCATCTTTATTCTAAGTACAGCCTTCCTGGAGAGTCTTAAAACACTTCTGAAGTCCTAAGTAGTGATTTAATGATTAGGTGATTAATCACTGAATCAAGTACGTTTTTCCTACAGTTGCTGGTTTAAGCGTTTCAAATATAAAGAGTTTGTCGCTCTTCTTTTTTTCATATCATTGCAAGTTGAATACACTTAGCCTCTGGTGGAGTTATTACGTGGAGCAAATTGTAGAACAAAGAAAATATGGAATAACAAAAACACTGAAACCTCCACACATCGACCCAAATAGACCAAATGCATCTTTTAATAAAACAGTGACACTGACTGCAATGAAGCAACCGACTGAGGATCTGAGTCATGATTTATGAGTCATGTAAAAGGTTTAAAAAACAAAGCAGAGTACTTAAGAGTGCTGAAAACACAAACAAATTATTTCCATCTCACCTCAAGGTCCATTAAGTGTGTGTTCTGGAGCTTTTGATCATATGACATGATCTTCATCTGTGGAGGGAGTCTGCCCAGCTCCAGAGCAGCTACTAAATGGGTCTTGAGGTGAAACTGTTTTGTGAACTTGCTTTCCCAAGCTCAAGACTGAACTTTGATACTAAACTTTTTAGCCAATATGGACAAGAAATCCCCAATGTCAACATCTACAACTCAATGACAACATTTAAAGGAACAGTTCACCAGTGCTATTTTCCAATCTAGATTTTTTGGGTGTGAGTTGCAGAGTGTTGGAGATAACGGTCATAGAAATGTCTTGAATATAAAGGAACTAGATGGCACTCAGCTTGTGATGGTTAAAGCGCCAAAAAAATCCATCTGAAAAAGCAGCAACGTTGCTTCCCAGTAGTCATGGCTCAAGATAATCCACAGTCCTTGTTGTGAGTAGTTTCATGTAGGAACTACTTTCATTACTGTATCACTGAACAGAAGGAAGCGTACATCTACTCATGGATACTCATGGATGAGAGGCACAGCGTGACACCACGAAATGTAACATTAGCTCGCTCCATGGTGCTAGGTATGCTAGCAGTGGAAAGTCTTAGGGCTGCGGTGAAACTGCGCCTACTAAGGGCAACAAAAAAGTTTATCTTGGGTGTGTTGGTAGACTGGAAAATCAAGAGAAGTTGGCAGAAGAAATACTCACACACCTCAGTTCAATTGGTATGCAGGTTTTTCTTCTGCCATCCATGCTAGCAGTAGATGCACACTTCCTTCTGCACAGTGATACAGGTCGGTGGGTAGAGGTTGATAGAAAGAAAATCTGGACCAGATCAAAACAGGTCCTAAAAGTACTGGGGTTATGTGACCATAACAAATACACACTAGAAGGATGAAGCACATTTGTAAAGCAAAATGCAGACCCAATCTAAAGAGACAGATGCTGAACTGAAAGCACTGTGATTTTTAGGGGGCAGCAGGGAAATTAACACATTTTGTAATTTTTTGTTGTTATGGATATTTGATCTAAAAACCGTCAGGAGTTCACACACATGATGCACGAGCTGTTACATCTTTCCTCAGGTCATTATGTAATGTACTTCAGCCATTCCTGTTTGCTATATCATATAACTCACACTGGACACGACCTTGGCTTCAGTTATCCTCCAGCGGAGCTGCCATGATTTCACCCTAACTCACTTCAGCTGTGATGTCAACCAGCTTTCACAGGCTTCCATCCAGAGGCCACACTCAGGTCTCTGGAGCATTCAGCAGCTGCGCCGCTAACTGACTAACCTTCAGCCTGCAAACAGCCTTGAACCTCTAACCCCAGCATCTTTGACAAACCCCAGCCTTTCTAGCCAAACAGTTTGTGTGTGTGTTTACTCAGAGGTGGGGATGGACACTTATGAAAGCTCATGTATTAAACAACGCCATCTGTTTTTGAGGCTGGCCAGCTGTAGAGAGGATGGTGCTACAGATGACGCAGTATTTATATATTCATAGTCTCATTAGCGCTAATCATGCAGTGTAACTGTATATGTATGTGACTTCACAGTTTTGGCTGAAGACTAACAAAAAGTGAAGCAAATGTTTTTGGATGACGGACTCTGATCTGACCATACTGATTTTTCCTGTTTAAAATCGCCTGGTGGTCAATGTGCTCAAACATCCATACTGGTTCTCAATCACTGCCCTCAGTGCGACTGCTTTTCCACCCTTTGCTGTTTTATTAGATGACAGATAAAAATAAAATAAAAATAAAATAATCTTAAAAATCAAGATACAATTATTGTCTTTTTAAATTAATTTTAAGACTAAATAAAATGAACCCTTTTAGATCACATCCCCAGGATAAAGTGCACCAATTTAACAAAGATGCCAAGAAAATCAAAATTTTCCTATTCTTACATGTTTTCTTTCTGTACAACAAAATGACATGTGTTTACTTAAGCTAGTACCAACCAATTTCAACCAATAATATCATGATATCCAGCTGTCAATCACCCTGCAACTTTTAGCTGCACAGAGCTAGAAGATTGAATTAGCTGGCTGGCAACAGCATGCTACGTGGGTATGTCTTTGTTTCCCCACAATACCATAATTTCTGACCCTTTGGATTCAATTTATTCGTTATACTATTCCAGATGATGTGCAAGGCATTTACAGTAGACAGCTTCAGCGACTAACATTACACAGAGCATATGATGGACTTTGTCTCTCTCCCTGACATATATCAGCACCCCGTTGGCTTTACACCATCCTAGCCTTGCTGTTATGATACCCCACTTTTCAACAAACAAAACAAATTCCTCCCGATGTTATATCCCATCTGCCATGTCATTCAGAAATACGTCACAATACTTAAGCTAAATACTCACAAAATGTCATTTTATCTGGACTTCACCAATCTGTTCATCAAAGAGACACCGGTCAAAATATGCCAAAACTCCTTCTGATTATATTCTGTTTAAATGGCTGTATACAAAAGTTTCTATGAGCCTCTAAATTATGGTGGGTGACCTCTAAAATCTGCAGTAATCATGGGCTTTTTACTGTTTGTACACTAGAAAGCACAGTAAACCCATAATTCTACCAAGGGCTCAATCAGCTCCATCTTTCTTCAGAGTTCGTGGTGGACTCGCTGGTCTTGCACGAGACAGAACACTTCGTACAGATTACTGGTATTACAACAGCAAAGCTTAAACCATCTGTGATCAGTAAATACTTTGGTGGGAATCGTCATTCAGATGCAATTTTTTTTCCCAGAGAAAAAAAAATGGCTCAGAGTGAACTTGTTTTGATTTGTGTGTGAGGAGTTCAGGAGGAGGTTGCTTGGGAAAAGGACAGCTGGGTTCATCCGTTCACTCTGTTTCCTCTGCACTGCACGAGGATAAAAAGCTTAAGGGTTGTGGCTGCAAGTCGTCAGAGGGACATTATTCCAGTTACCTTGCAAATCAAAAAGTGAGCTGGCGTCTGTGGCTTTCTCAGAGGGTGCCTGAGTGATGGGTCGTAAGAAGGAGCGGTAGCCTTTTAAAATGGCTGCCATAAAGCGCAGGAAGGCTTCCTGGATCTCCAGCTCCAGCGTGTGGAGGCTCTTCCCACAGCTCAGCTCTGACGAATCACTCATGCTCAGCTCCAGCAGTCCATCGGGCCGCTGATGACCTGAAGACAGGGGGGAAAAAACATCAGCAGCTGTTGCTACATACTGCATTAGAATCTCTACATGTCAACAACATACAGGCGGAAAGGTTGAATCAGTCATCCCTTCTGCTGATGAAAATGTTGAATCTTGTGCATTTTGATGAAGTCGTTATGATCAAAGTATATGTACTGAAAGGTCTTACGGCCGGGCACTGCTTTAAGTAAGTATTCATATTTCACATGAGGATTAAGCTTTCATTATTAGGATAAATAAACTGAAGTTGACATCCAAGTGCATGAGACTTAAGTGTCTCCACGAAAACCTCTGGCAGGCATATCAACATTCAGCACTTCTGGCAGAAACTGGGTAGATTTTCAACTTCACTGAATCAGAAAATTCATTTATTCAATTTCTGCAGCTCAATAAGGAGCAGGTTTCATGGTCTCTCAGCGAGCATGCTCCAAGAATAGCAGAGAAAGTTGACAACAATACAATGAGCACAAAGACGGGGGGACGGGTAATTAGGAAATTATACTACGATGGGATTATTGCTGGTTTTCAATTAGTGGAATGAGGAGCAAAACAGTGTAGATTGAATGGAGAGCAAATTGTTAAGACAACAGAATCCAAAGAACTAAAGATGATGAATAAAGCTTCACACACTCTGTGATTTTATATTATTTTTGACTTCACCAAAGGTTAGATTTATAGTCTAAGAAGTTGTAATACCCTGTATGGATTCCAACAAATTATGTGTTAGTTTGAATTTGTTTGAACTCGACACTTTAAAAAAGTGACAGCCAAACCACCTTTTATTAAATTGAACACAGAATATAAAAGCAGGGTTTGTGCATACAGGGTCAAGTCAAATTCAAGGACTTTTAACCCAAGTATTCCTTTTAATTTTCAAGCATGAAATTATTTTCTCCACAACCATCAATCCCACTTTTATGAAGCAAAAAAAAACCTAAATTCCTTCTAAATGTGCATCATATTAGTCTGGAGGTTTGAACTTATTTCTTCTAAAGAGTCAGTGATTAACACTGGACTTTCAGCTCTGTCTGAGAAATCTCCGCTGAGCTAAGACTGTTCACTTACAGCACAGTCACACTCAGACAACCAAGCCTTCTACCTGCCTGTCAAACAGTAATTAAACTATAAACCTTCTGAAGACAATCTGGATGTGAGTGGAGTCTACGAGGATCAACAGATGTGTAGTCCAGTAGCTGCTTACTCTGCTGTGGTTCAGCAGCTAACAAGTGAAGCTAGCTGCTAACAACCACCGCTGCAACCAACAAACTCTATGTAACTCCATGCTTGTCCATTCAACAGCTCCACCTTCCAAAGCTGGACACATGGCTGCTTATTTACTGCTGAATTACAGCTCAAAACAAATGGATGACACACCTTCAGAGGTGAGTTATGGAGGTTAGCGAGCCGACTATTTACTGGCGTTTACCAACCCGGTGGAGCTCTGAGCTCTTACTGCTCATACAGCGTTAGAAAATAATTGCAAGCACAGTCATTTTCTGCCTTGTTCAAAACCCTTTTCTAACGCCTTTCATAAAATAATTTATGATTTGGTTCTCCTCTCACTTCTATTTAGGAATTTTTATCAAGGACCAAGTCATAAAATGTCTGATTTTCAAGGTATGCCAGTACTTAAATTCCTGAGTGCCAAATTCAAGTACTTCAAGCACCTTATACAATCCCTGTAAAAATATAATAAATGAAAAACCTTGCTGAGAGTGTGCTTACTGCAGGACCGATCATGAAACTAAACAAATCAAACACATTTTTTACAATCCTTTGTTCTACTGGCTCAGAACTCACCATCAACCAGCTGCTGGTAGAGATTACTCAGCACATTCATCAGGTTTTTACAGGCTTTCTTTGGCAGGATCTTCCATGTGAGGGCTCGCTTATCTTCAGTGCTGGAAAAGCAGAAGCACACAGTGAGCTGTGGAGAGGCTGAAAGGCCAAAACCAACATGGACCCACTGCTGTCCATGGGAGTTCAGACCACCCTGAAGTTGTCTGGCTGGTAATGAGGCCAAAAAAAACTATCTGAACCATTACTGACCCTACCTGAGGAACCAGAAAAATGCATTCCTTTCATATTAAAATGAGTCTGCCTTTACAAAATCTAACCATTTCCACCCAGACTCCAGAAATACAACCTGGCCTCTAAACTTAGAACTAATGACCTGGCAGTTATGTGGTCTGGGGAAAAAAGACGCAGCACAGGAAACAATGTTTAGCTCTTAAATGGAAGTGCTGTACAGTGTAAGTGCAGCTCACTGCCCTGCAGTTAATCCTTTCAATGTTCATCGTGAGAAGGCAACTGAGTAGTGAAGACAGATTAAGTTCTCTAAAAGTGTCACTTAACAGATCTCCTCACTTCAGTAGCTTGCCTCAATAACTTAACAGCAATCAGAAAGTTTTTGTGTGTTGTGCTCACTGGAAGATGGTGTTTGTGTCCAGGTCCACGCAGCTCACGTCCGGCGGGGGGTCATAAAGATCAAAGTAGCGGGAGTCCACTCCTACAATGAACGGACAGGGGGCACTCAACACGTCAGCCAACGCCAGGGGGCACAAGGGGATATATGGACACGGCCAGTGGAACGGGAAAATCATCTGAGGAGGAGGATGTTGCAGGTTAATTAGAGCTGGTTCAACAGTCTGGTGAACGGTACAGTTGAGCGTACTTTGAAATAAAAAACCCTCCTAATAATGTAAATTAAATTGGTCCAGGAAGACAATCTGCTAACAACCACAATTCCCTCACTTCAAACACAATTTATGACTTTTGCTCCCTCTTACCATAATTGATGGTGATCATATTAGACTTTTATAACTATTAGTGCAGCAGTTTATAAAAAACAAACAAAAAAATAGAAGCATACTTTAACAAAAGCAAAGAAGAGGGCGGCAGCATGAGTGTGAAGCCAGTATGGTCATTACAGCCCTGGTTGGAGTCCGATAAATAACCAGTCTGTCCAGTTAAAGGCAGTAACTTACAGACACCAGAGCCTCAGTGACGCTGGTCAGTACAGCGGGTCGTAATGAGTGGACCAGGATCTTGTGTTCAGTGACAGCAAACACAAGCAATGTGACGGCGTTCTCTGGTCCGAGGTTCTGGAGCAGGGTGGAAAATCGACCACCACTGCAGGGAAACACACAAAAAAGTACAATATCAATACAGTATCTCAATCTCTCAACCTTTTCTAGCCCTTGAACACATTTTGGATTTTAAAATGCTCTTCAGACAAATGTTGTTGTCATGTGTATCTGATATCACCATGCTCTGTATTCTATGTTCAAGTGTATGAAGGAAGCTTAAAATTTAAAATATAGAAAATATGACATACACTATCTTAGACCTGTTTGTTTTCTCATAGACATATGCATAAAAAAAATAAATTAAAAAACATACTAGTCTGAGAAAGAATCAGACCTCTCCAAGGCTAACAGAGAGGTGGTATCCAAACTACTCTGTTACACACACATACAGACAAAATGCATAATTCCTTTACATTTTAGTAAAAAATAAGTGCTGTCAGATATCACCAGAAAAACATGTGCAGCTGCTCTTACCTGAGCGGTAAAGGAGAAGACACTGGCTGGCTCAACATCAGGCTGTCATGTGGGGAAAGCTGCAGAAAAGCTGGAAAGTGAGATAAAACCAACCGAGCAAAAAAAGAAAAGCCTGCACTGAATCATTTAAATATTCATCCATAATGGAGGACCTAAACTGCTGCACCCCACAGGCAATCCAAAAACACCTTCAGAAAACAACACTATTGTCTGCAAATTTCTGATTAATACCCATTTCTAACACGCACCATATGCAGTCAACAACACTCTTGTGACCTGAGCTTACCTGCACCAGGATGCGAGGCCTCTGAGAGGAAGGGAAGGGAACTTTGTGCATGAAGTGAGAGATGTGCCTGGAAAGAAGAAGACGAGTAAGGGTGATGTGAAGCCAAAAATATCAGCGGTTGGTAGCAGAATAACTAGTCAGTGACGTGTAGGAGTTAGGAGCGGCAGTAAAACATGAAAAGCATGTCAGGTAATGAATATCCAAACTAAAACAACTTAACCCCGATAGAGAGAAAGTAGTGGCAAGATGTTTTGTGCTCCTGGACCTACTTGGTTATTTGGTGCATTTTTACACCATATTTGTAATGTGTATGCACCAAGGTGTTTCTGGTGCAAAAATGGAAAACATTTCAACTATAATTCAAGCATGAAACACCAGACTTTACTGTCAGTTCCTCGGTTGCACTGCATATCACATATTGAACATACCTTGCAGCCATTTTTGGAGTCAGTGCTAGTATTTTCTATAACTACTCGCTCGTGTGCGACCCGCAAATTTACAGGAGTTCTTTTTTTGTCATGTTGAAAAACGAGGGAGCGAGCCCACCAGTTTAGGCCAATGTGTGTGAGAGGGGGAGAGTCTGGGAGTGAGTGATGAGTTTACTGCAAGGATCATGTCATCTACACTCATCAATGTTCCTAGCTATGGTCGTGTCTAGCGTCATATTCAAGGATGGCGAAACAAACTGCATTCTTCACCCCTGTGTCAAAGCCAGGCCCTGCACAGTGAAAAGTTGCTGAGGAAAACTAGTATATAGGCTCGAAATAAACCATACAGACAACGCTCAATCTACACTTCACACAGGAATGGCTTAATGAATTTACATGGCTCAGGTAAAACCAAACACATAAAACAATGAACTGTGTGCTCTGCACTAGATTTGGCCTCAAATATGCAGAAAACGAAATTCGCAGAAGCAACTGGTGCTGCACAATTCAAACATGATACACCAATGCTGAGACAGTTTTACAAATGAAACAGAATCCCCACTTCCAGCAGCCTTTCACAGGCAGGAAGCTACAATACAATCTGCAGAGGAGGCTGAAATGATAGTCAGTTTTAACACTGCATATTTCACTGCAAAGCAGGAGCTACCATTTACCAAGTGTATGGCACAGATTGAACTTTGTAACGGTGTAAATGTTAACCCCACATATAGCAACAACACTGCATGTGTGCAGTTCAGGAGCTGGGTGTGTTACAAATGATGAAACTGAGTGTATTTGTTTAGTTTTTTTAAGGTTTTTCTTCTGTAATAACAGGAGGTAGGTTAGCAAGGTTACTGACCACAAACTTTGTTTATATGTATACATTCACGAAAGTTCAATTTTGTTAAATTTATGACATTGTAAACTTGAAATAAAACAGCTTTATGTAATTTCTGTAAGTTATCTATTTATTACCAAAGCATTTATCAGTAATAGAGTTAAAATGGCCAAAAAAGTGAATAATTGCATCGCAGGACGATTTAAGGTGTGCCCCTAAATGTTCTACTTGCGCTTCTAAAATTTTCAGTTAGGGGCTACAGTGCTCCTACCAAAAAAAGTTAGTCTGAAGCCCTGAATACACCTGTCTGGAGCCCCATTCAGAGTGGATTTATTTCTCTACAAGAGGTGGGGTGATTTTACCATTACCTGCACTAGGCAGTGATTTTAATCTCGACCAAATGGGACTTCACAAAAATCTTTTAACATTATCAGGTAATTATCAAGCAGCATTTCAAAGGAACAGAAGTATCAAACTCCTGGTTACCATCAGTACAAAAGATGAACAACTGCATGAGAAAGTATCTGAAAAGAGGGTGCAACTTCAGGGAGAAGTTACTTTATAGCCAGGCATCACCAGTCTACTGTAATTTACAAAGTCTGGAACATCTCCGTTTATTTTTGATTTCCAGCAGAGACATAAATGGGCACAGACTAAAATGCCTCTTGATGAAATTGGATAGACCTACAACCAATCAAAGCAGCGTAATGTATGACGTGGCCCTGAGCAACACATGCAGTAACAGAATCTTCATTCATATTTGATCAGAGCTGCCTAGGTTGACAGTTTGATCTGAGAACCAGTGAGGCTGCTCTGTCAAAGATCGTATCAAATCCGCCCCGTATGAGATAGATGGTTGTGATTGGCCTGCCCAGGATCTAGCTGGATAGAAATCTATTTGAACGGGAGGAGGACCAGACGCACCTGCCAGAGCAAATGAAACATAAGCTCACAGATTAGTCTGGTCCCAGGCTAGTTACCTGAGACTCCCTTGGTGCAGTTTGGCAAGAAGTATCCAATCACTTAGCTTTAAATTCAGTGACTTCATTATTCTTCATTTTCTATTAACTGAGTCACTGCAGCAGCGTGTTTTGTTTACAAATCAACATTGCTGCAGCATTTGCGCCACTGACTGCCTTCCTCTCCACAACAATAGCAGCTGAGGCTCCTGGGTATTGTGGTATAAGACCAATTCCTCTTGCCGGAGTTAAAATAATTAAAATGGGTAGTTAGAAGATAAAACTGTGACCAGAATATTATCTGGAAGACTCTCATGTTTCTATGTTAAGTAACACTGAGGACACTATTAAAAGAAAAACTTGAAATGGGAATACAAAATGGAAAAAGAAATGCCTCAGGAACCAGTGAATTCTCCCACTTCATAATGTGTTAAATTAACAAACTTAACACAGCATAAAATGGTCAAATTAAGAGATAGAAATAGAGGACTCACTTCTCGATGGGCAGAGCGTGAGGGCCGGAGATGGAGTAGCGATAGAGGAATGTGAGGAACTTGCGGAAAGCGTCGAAGAAGGGCCAGTGGGAGAGCAGACAGATACACTTGTTGGTGTGGACCAAGCTCGGGGCTGTAGCGGTGCTGTTAGTGGTGCTGCTGGTGGCTGATCCAGTACGGCTGGAAGAGGAGGGTTTGGGTGGATCTGGGTTCAGGAGACCCAGCTGGGAGCGCTGCTGATCAGTCAGACACTCCTGTGGAAACGGCTCATAGAACTGAATGGCAGCACCGTAGACCTGAAACAAGAAATGTTGGATACACAGCTTAGCATCTATGCAAATGTATCATGGCTACCACAGCATAGTGTGTATACTGCACTGAGACATCAGTGACAAACTAAGCTTTAGTGCCAGATCACATCATTATACAAGATGTGACACTGCCACAGTCAGATACTTCTCCATACTGGACTTTCTTTCAAAGGCCAAACTGGGAAATCATGGCTGTCTGCCTGCTGCAGAAATGTGCAGCTCAGAGATCACGAGCTCTTGAACCACAAGAGCTCCTTGAGCATACAGTTATGAATGTGCACACAAAATATGAGGCTGATTGGTCCAGTAGTTTGTGAGATTAGCTGCAGACAGACAGATACACACACACACACAGACACACACACACAACCAAACGCATGATTTCCATCAGGCTTATGGCTCTCGGAGATAATTATCAAAATAGCTTTACCTGTGGTTGACTAACCGAGTAATCTGTTAATTGAAACACTTTCATTATTTACATGTTTGTAGACACACACACACACACACACACTCCCACACACACTTCTATACCTAAGAGGAGCCGTATCTTATAGATATGATGCATTCCTCTGCACATAATAAGTAATGTTAAAAAACTCTAAAACTTATGAGGCACCTGGTGGAGCAGGCGCCCCATGTACAACGACTACGTCCCTGCCGCAGCAGCCGCAGGTTTGATTCCAACCTCAGCCCTTTGCTGCATGTCATCCCCTTTCTCTCTCCCTTTCACGCTACCACTGTCCTACCAAATAAAGGCCAAAAAAGCCCCAAAAATAATCTTAAATAGAAAATATATAAAACTTGTTCCAACCTTGAAGAAGCCTAAGAAGTGGCGAGAATCCAAAACACCCTCAATCCAAGTTTAGTTTAATCCTTTTTTCAATGTTAAACAATAATTTCCAGAACAAAAACTCCAACAGATCAACTGGCAAATTAATAATGAAAAGGATCAGACAGCTTAGCAGTCCTCTGAATCGTCCCTTCACTCTAAAATAAATGATACATCAATAAGCATAGAGAAATAAAGTAAGTATAGTGCACCTCTGTTTAACCTTTATTGAACATCAATACCATGAGTGCCAACTGCGGACAAACAAACAGCCGTTAGCTGAGCCAGCATCAGCATTAGGCCAAACAAATCCCTTTTGCTTCCTGGAAATATGAGACTTTCCCCAATTCACGCACAGATCAAAGCTAACTGGCTTATCTGTTGGCTGCCTGTGAGTCGCTTTTCAACTATTTCCACCGAAATGGACCGAGGTAGCCCACGTTTTTGTTTGCTGATGACTGAACTGAGGACTCTTGTGTGTTTGTGTGTGTATGTTGGGTTCAGACAGGAGCCTGTGGCATTGTGTGTCTATTCTATGAACATGAATGACAATCAGACCTGCTTATTCATGTGTGTAATACTAACAAAGCATTTGTTGGATTTTGGTTTTTGGTCTTTCAAAGTCATTTAACCAATCCTCACTTATTCAAGGGACTCATACCGGGTTGGCTTGGGTTTATTCTGTCATAAACAGCTCGCAACTTCAGTTCAGGCATTGGTCAAAGTCCCTGTTTCTCCTGCATGCACCTAGCTGTTACAGTATGTGAATGCCACTGCTGAATTTTTTTTTTTTCAATGGGGAGGCGATGAGAGGAGTGGAATGGCATGAAGAGGAGAGGAGTAAAATGGCGTGGAGTGGAGGAGAGGAGGGAAGAGGAGAGGAGCAAAATGGCGTGGAGTGGAGTAGAGAAGAGAGGAGAGGAGAGGAGGGAAGAGGAGAGGAGTAGAATGGCGTGAAGAGGGGAGGAGTGGAATGGTACGGAGTGGAGAGGAGAGGAATGCAGGAAGTGTAGAGGAGAGGAGAGGAGTGGAATGGCGCAAAGTGGAGAAGAGAGGAGGAGAGGAAAGGAGTGGAGAGGAGAGGAGAGGAGAGGAGAGGAGAAGAGAGGAGAGGAGAGGAATGGCATGACTGGCACACTCCACCATGCTTGCCATCAAAATTGTCACTATGCTAATGCAAACTCTCGCTCTCTGTAGTGACAAGTCCGCTCGGAGCTGGAGGTTCCAGGATTCCTTTCAGTGTTCCCCGGTCGATATGTGTTTCCCGTATTAGACAGCGATGGGCTTTCATATTAGTGACGCACCTAGTCTAGCCTGCCTGGTGTATGTTTGAATCTCAGATTTTAGTGAAGTGCAAAGACATCTCCACCTTCAGTAGAGGAATGTGAAAACACCTCTCTAGTGACAAAAGTTGCACAAATACAAGTCAGTATAATCAAGGTCAGACATTTCAGGGGACATAAACAGAAGAAAAACACATTTTTCACCAGTAATAATAATAATAACTGATAGAGGCCATTCTGCATAATGGATATTTTTATTTCTGATACTATAGGAACTGAATACTTATTCCACCACTAAGATTAAACTTACAGCCAAAGTGGGTGGTCATATAAAACTGTGGGTGTCAACATGCTTAAACTTGGAATACGTATAAGTTATGAACCTACAGAGGTGAGTGTTATGGTCAAAGAAAATACTGTGGTCAAAAGAGGGTTGTCATAAGTATAAAAATACAGTGATGTGTGTATATGTGTGTGTGTGTGTGTGTGTGTGTGCGTGTACACATAGGTCAACAGGTGACTCCTCAGTTAAACATGGAGTCCGCATTCTGCCAGAGTCCTGCTGAGTCTCCCTCTGACCTTGGCCAGTAAAAACACCAGTCAGCATACACACTGTCCTCACCAAATATCCCCCTGCATGTGCTACGGCAGGCCTTCCAAACTTACATGCAAATACACACATACCTGTACACACACACACAAACTTGACTCAGCAGCAGCAGACCGCAGAGGGTTTGGCACCAGCACTTGCTGCTGACCCCTAACTGGCCTTGTTGAGCAGAGCCGATGCTATCTAAACATCAGTAAGCTTTGGATGTTATTTGTTTTCAATCATGATTGTGTTTCACCACATAATTCACTAATATGTGTCAACACAAGCCTCATCCCAACTGGCCCATTTTCCAAACCCACAGACCAGCACAGCAGGAAGGGGCTTGAGTTTGGATTTGGAGACCGAGATTGTGTGTGTGTCCGTTTGTGTGTGTATGTGGTGTCTTAAAATGGAATTATGGTTCTCTGGGCTTCATGTAAATGAACGTTCACGGTGGTCGTTAGGACACATTATGTGTGTGCATTTCTTTTATAGGTGTACAGATTGGGAGTATAATGTAATGTTACGAAACTGAGAAAAAATCAGGAAGAGGAAATTAATTTCAGTCCTGTGTACACAAACCACTATATCTCTGTAACCAAGCATGAAAGAATTTGGACTGTTAACCTTAATGGATGGGACAATAACAGTATCAGTGCCTTGAAGAGGAATTGCTTTCTATGCTCTTTTCAAAGGCCAAAAAATTAAAAAAAATAAATAAATAAATAAAATTAATAAATGAAAAACTTAGGATTATCAACCAATCAGTCTGCTTGATGAGCAGGTCAGTACCACGTGTTGTTGAGATTTGAGAGGTGTGCACGTTGGCCTAGGTTACCCACACTTCTCATATTCACAGAAACATTTACCTGCATATTTGCAGAAGGATAGCTTCAGCTTTAGAGGCTGTACAGTCCACAGAAAGGGATCAAGTCCCAGTTAGATCTAAGCCGCCTCAATCAATCAAACATGGTGGACAATGGGTTTTGACTGATGGGTCATCTGATGGGTCCTGATATTTCTGCAGGTTGCTTCATACATGTTAATTTACACTGGATTGAGTTTCAGGGGTGGATTTTCAGAGGATGTTATGTTGAGGCCCAGACACACTAAACCAACATCGAAGTACTAGTGGCAGTGAAGGTCGACTGTTGTGTCGCCCAGTGTCACCTGTGTTTCAGCCAAAAAGTTGCACTTGAACACACTGCAAAGACTTTAGCCAACAGACAACCAGCACGTACGGCAGTAGAAACCGAAACGCCAACAGGATGGATTCGAAACGCTAGTTGGCCAGTAACCAATGTTAAAAGAACAAAAGATATTTATCGTATGCCAGCAAACAACTTATACTTACTTAATATAGCAAGTTCGTTTTGATCACACTCCCGCTTGACTTTAGCTGTTTGTTTAAATTCCTCACTTCCGTTTCTCTTCTTTAGCACTGAGCTGAAAATCCTATCAGAGTGATTTCACTCACAGATGTGCACCACAGGGTTCAACATCAATTCAACATGATGAAATGGTCGGAAAGAAAGACAAAGGCCAACTAGGGACAATGGTGTGGGACACACTGCAAGAACTAGGGCAACAGACACTCACCGATTGTCGAACATTGACCGATGGCCAACCCTCAGCTTGGTGTGTCAGGGCCTTTAGTGATATCAGAAGTCCAAAATTACCTGCAGAGTAATCTCTCTTATGCAGCTAAGTGTGTGAGACTCTGTCTTGTTGATTAGTCTAGTGTGTGCAAAACCAATGTACAATATATCCAACAATTGTTGACGATTTAAAGAGTCTTAAAATGTTTTAGTTGATTTTAGATTAACAATGTATCATCCTCATTCATGATGAAGACTTTTGCTTTTAGTGTAGACCATCATTACATCATTAAGATCATAATTTTTTGTTGTAACAAAACTGGCCTTACAGTTAATCCAGGCTTTATGTCTACAGTGACACTAGTGTGCATGTGAACTTTATGTTGTTCGTTTGTCCTTTAGTAAATAGGAGTTGTCTGGTGAAAACCTCACAGCTCAATTTTAACTATTCCAGACCAAAAGAACAGCTTGGCATTCATGTTCATAAATTAACTAACGTAGTGTTTAAGCTGTTACTACATAATTCAGTTGGATCTTTGTATTTTGTAATTTTTTTCAGCCAACAGTCTTGTCCTAAAAAAAAGAAACACTAAATGTGTAGTTACAGTGTTTTCACCTGACAAAGGCAACATACATGCCTGACCCACTTTCCCTTCTGGTATGCAGAGCATTGTGGTTTTCCCATGGCCCAGTGTAGTGCGTTAGTCTGCGGTCACGTCAGCTGTGTAGATGGCAGTTACAGTCTGTTGATGAGGTCTAACAGTCACTGGCACCCTCTCATACCTGATGCTGCCACTGGGATGTTTGTTAAAGATGTATTTCACTGCTGGAAAGATGGTCTTTTCATAAAACTAGGCTGTCTATGCAGTAGAAAGACACAATTCATTTGAAATTGGTGCGAAAAGAAAAGGGCTGTGGCTGTCACTTTTGCTCAGGAGGTAGAAAACCTACAACTGCCAGAATGCACTGCGCCGCACCAGACCAATAAATGCAAATGCATCATCTGGCCAATTTGAGCAGGGAGATGAGCAGGGAGGCAATGGCAAGATGGAGGGAAGTTTAACACCTACTACCCACATTGTTATGATACAAAGCTGGTTGAAATTTGCAAAATTTCTCTTTAATTGTCTGGATGAGGGAGAAAGAAAGGAATTAGAAGTGTGGATCTATCCATTTATCAATTTTACCTTTTCTCCGGAGGCTCCGGTGAGGACAAAGGTGGAAAAAACAGGGAGGGAGTATTTGGTGTTAGCTGGCCAGCACTCGATTGTGGCCCCCATGGGAAGGCAGAAGAGAGGGACAGACTCTGGCAGAGGGAATGACTCATAGTCCTCCTCTGGATATCTGCTGAACAAACCTGGAACAGGAAGGAAAACAAAATAGAACAAACAAACTGAGGACTCCATTTATAGAGCTGCAAAGTGCAGGCTTCCCCCTGTGATTACCAATTAACAGCTGACACACAATCGCCTTTCCACAGAGTTTAAAACAAAACAAGTTCAGTTTATTAAAATCATGATGATTAGTGTACTATTCATTAGTATGCCAGTGGTTCACTTATAAGGCCTGGCTTTGTAACAAGCAATTAGTGCTTGGTAATCAGGCCTTTGGGTCATTAGTCACTGTCAGTGGACACAAAAGAGAAACAATGACATAGTGATTTTCATTTTGTGCACTTTCTTAAAGGGATATTGCAGGGGTTTTTTTGTTTTTTCTTTTTAAGTGGGGTTGTGTGAGGTACTTATCCATAGCCAGTGTATTATCTGCAGTAGATGGCGATCCACAAGTTTCTAGTTTGAAGAAGCAGGCAGGAGTACTGCCAAGTCAGCAGCAAAATTTACTTTAGCCATCCACAAAAATGTATATCAGTTTAAGTGTACACTATATTTATAATATTTTCACTGCTTTACTTTGCTGTCAGACAGCCTTTTCTGATGGGGAACTGAAGCCGTTATCTAGCCACCAGAATCCTTTAACAAAAAAACATAATTTTACCTCACAGAGGACAGATGTTGCTGGTCTATCACTGCCTTGATCAGTTGTTTTGTTCATGTTTTAGTGTAAATTTGGTGTTTGAAAAGTTTAATTTGGATTCACCAAACAACAGCTTATAAGTTTTATCAAGTTTGGACTCGCTAATAGCTTCAAAGGTCAGCACTGTCAAGATGTACTGCTATTGGTCAAAGCTGTTAAGGCTGGACAATATGGAGAAAATCATATGTCACAACGTTTTTTACCAAATACCTCAATATTGATATTGTGACGATATTTTATGGGTGACTATTGGTGCTTTCACAAAATATTTAAACCATAAGATCTTTAATAAATAATCACCAGTTACAGTTTGGTAAGTTCATAAAATGCCATCACTTTACTATAACCATTAAAACTAGGAAAAGACAAAACTTACAATATTACAATATCCAAACTCTAAGACTAGTCTCACATCACAGTATTTATGTAAATGATAGCGTCACGTATAAGACTTTACACACTCACACTCACAGACTAATTTCACCTCCATGATCTTTAAATATATTTGGGGTGCTTTCACACCTGTCCTGTTTGGTTCGGTTCAATCAAACTCAAATTCGTTTGCCCCCTAAGTGCGGTTCGTTTGGGCAGGTCTTCAACGTTTTGTTTACTTCCTGGATTTTTCCCACATGGAGATTCTGACCAATCAAGAGCAGCTTTCTCGCACAACGCATTTTATCTGGTCCGCTTATAAATGCTGCCATGAGGACATGAACCAACTCTAGGCAATTGTACAACTTTATAACAAAATTAGTCCCTGATCTGGACCAAAGTAAGCAATCTCTAGAGGTCCTAGAACTCTAGGTTTTGGTGTGCACCCGAGTGTGATTGCTGTGTTCATGCTCAAATGAGCCACACTGAAAGCACCCTTAGAGTTATAAAGCCCAAAACACCAACATCCAATATTCACACTCCTTTTAAAGGGAAATTTCAGTTTATTTCAACCTGTCTCCTATCGTCCTAAATTTGTTTCAAATGACTAGTGACATAAAAATAATAGTTAGCATGTTCACTTACGTTTTAACAGGTCTGACGCTACTATGCGCCCTGGCTGTATAGTAGCGTCAGACCTGTTAAAACGTAAGTGAACGGGCATACTTCAAGTGCAAAGTTAGTCCACTAAACAAGCTTTTTTTCCACAAAGACCGCCTCATATCGTTAGGATAAATGTCAGAGAACATATAGAAAACGACATGTAAACGTGTTGTCTTACCTTACCGGTGTGCTGCCATGTTTGTTTACCATTTAGCTCTGCTTTCCAAAGCGCGGCCAAAATATCGCAAGAACAAGCCGCGATCTCATACCGTGCCTGAAATCTTGCGAGAACAAGCAGCAACAGCTGGAAGGCAGAACCGGACAGTAGCCTGAAAAGTTCATTCATTTATTTTATGAAAGATTTATAGAATAATTGCTGACTTTTTGCCAGACTTTGACTTTATGGAGGAGGAATTTGATTTTGCAGAGTTTGATGGCCGCCCTTATTTATTTGAGCCAGAATACACTGACGAAGAGCTTCGTGAAATTGAAGAACGGAGGAGAGAGAGAGAGAGAGAGGCGCAACAAGTAGAGGACGAGAGAGGAGGAATGGCTGCTGCAAGGCTGCGTAGCTCTGGAGATTGGTGGTGTACCTGTGAATGCTGTGCCCCAGTGCCCACAGAAGAGGAATGCCTCTGTTGCAAGGAATGGGACCGGTTGCAGCCTTATTTTCAAGGTCTGGATGTGACCGAGGACGAGACACCTCCACCTGGAGTAGTATCCAGCTGGGCTTTATCTAGAGCTTGCGAGATACATTTCGGCCGCGCTTTGGAAAGCAGAGCTAGATGGTAAACAAACATGGCAGCACACTGGTAAGGTAGGACAACACGTTTACGTGACGTTTTCTATATGTTCTCTGACATTTATCCTAACGATATGAGGCGGTCTTTGTGGAAAAAAAGCTTGTTTAGTGGACTAACTTGGCACTTGAAGGTATGCCCGTTCACTTACGTTTTAACAGGTCTGATGCTACTATGCGCCCCGGCTGTATCTAGGCTAACGGCTAACATGCTAACTATTATTTTTATGTCACTAGTCACTTGAAACAAATTTAGGACGATAGGAGACAGGTTGAAATAAACCGAAATTTCCCTTTAACTCTGGTTTGATCTCCACCAACTCCTGACAAAAATATCTGATTCCAATGCTTTTCCACTTTTCTCAGCAGCTTGTTGCTTACTTTATCTGTCTGCCGTATAGTTGTTTGGCAGGTAGCATACAGTTTATCAGCTGAAATTAGCTGCCTGATGCTGCTAGAAATGGAGATAATAGGAGAAAACTGTAAATGTGCTGTGAAAACAAAACAATGAACTAAAAAAAAAGGTTAATAAGCTCCACTGAGCTGCAGAGTTGTGATAAATCTCATGGACTGTAATGTATGCAGTGGGTCTTACAATGTGTTCATATGAAAAGATAGTGGTTAATGCAACTTTAAGAATTAATATAGCATAATTTCAGGAAGTTCCTGCCAGTTCTTACCTCTAAAAACTAGGTTGAGGAATGTCTTTTATATTCACTGCTAGATGTGCACATTCACAATATTTTCTTCCAAAATTAAAACCATATATCCACCAACAAAACAAACTTAGCTTCCCCAGTTCTGGATCAAACTATCGCATTAGTCTATAAATAAAGTCAGATGTTGCAAAACACGCTTCCAAAACACAAAGCTTGATGTGTACTGGATTTTTCCAGGCCTGAAATGTTGAAAATAAACTTGATTTCTGTGAGCTGAGTCATCCAAAGCGCGAGTGAGAAACAGATAGGATCTCTCCATTCACAGTCTGCTGCATATTTCAAGATATGTACAACAAAACATCAGCCAGACAATCTGAGGCTGAGCCAAACACATCCACACTGAGCCAACAGTGTTATCAGAAAATGACAATCTTCTGTCAGCTGTTTTTGGCATGGTAAAGTTAGATGGATTTAATGTGAAATAAGCCTCATATTACGATTAAATATATGGTAACCATTTAACCCCTTTAAAGGGGGAAAAACATTGGCGTGCAGAGGCTTATTCCCTCACTCAAACTCTGAGGCATCAACATGCTTCAACAAGCCTGAACTTGCAAGCACAGCTGAAGCAGAATGTCCTTATGCAGCCAGTTTGCTCTGCAGCAGACCCTCGTCTCCAGAGACATTTCTACAACAACACACAGCTGCAGCACATAGAGAAACAGGCAATAAATTCAAGAAATAAATATTTATCACTTTAAAATCAACTCATTTTAATACAACTCATCCAAAGTCTTATTCAAACAACAGGGCACTCCAAATAAATTTAACATTACTGTCATTCTCTGCATATTTTGTTTTTCACACAGGAAACCAGCGATTACAGGAAGAACTGAGAAGGGAGAGAAGGTATTTACACACAGCATGGTTATCTGATATCTGGTAATATTGGGAACAGGAGGCACACATCAGTATTTGGATCTCCGTGCACTGGTAATTACGGGATTAGGAGGTCTCACCTGCTTTGTAGGCTATTGTGTTGGTTTTGGCCACAGACTTCTTGTAACACAGGTAGACAGAGGAGCCCCACTGGAAACAAGAGCACAGTGGGAAAAGTTAGCATGTTGGCTGTTATAAATTATACACGCCACAACTGGGGTCAATCAGGAACAAAATGCATTATCAAATTACATCAAATTTGGAGCTGTCCCAAAATATTAAAAGTACAGAAGAGAAAGGAATGTGCCTGATTAGGATATCCATCAATGCATATAAGGGTAATATTACCAGAGAGCTGATTTCCAGGATTTATTCATCTTTACAGTTGGAAAAGGGTCCATCCACATTGCATGTTAAATCATTGTGGGAGAAAGAAGCTAACATAAAGTTAACCAGAGATGATTGGTTGAACATATGTAAGACACAATCTACCAAGTGAAGCTCAGGTCTGTAGAGGGACTTCATCTGGAAAAACACTATAAGGTTCTTTATAACTCCCAAAATTAAAAATCACAAAGCAACAAACCTGAACACGGTCAGTGTTGGAGAATGTATGGTAACAGATCAATGAGTTTAGAGCTGGGCAGATATTTATTACGAATACTACTAGCTACTAGGTTGTAAAAAAGCAATAATCAGAAAATGGTTGAGTAAAGAGTCTCCAACAACCTCTGAATGGACAGAAATAGTTAAGGACATTTATGTTATGGAACAAGTGACTTTTTCTCTGAGACATGCCACTAAAAAATGTGAACAACATTGTAAAAATGTAAATCTTATTTGACTTTGAAGTGATCTTTTATTTGTCAGTTTTGTTTTGTCCCCCTTGGTGTGACCATTCAAGTGTATGTTTCAGCCCTTATGACTTAACGCCAACTGGATATCGTGTTTTTGCTGAACTCCACCTTACTGCAGTAATGTGGTCAGGGAAGCAACTAATCTCCAAACAGATATCTGCATATGGATGCAGAATCTGTGGGCAACAATAGAAGATTTTGGTGTCCGAAGCATTCTAGTTTCCAATTGAAGTTTGAGTAGTATTGGCCAATCATGTCGTGCAGGCTTTGGGTAAACAGTCCATAAGGAGAAGAGCAAAAGAGGTGGAACACATTGGCCAAAATGCAATCTTGGATCCCATCAGCTACTATCTCATGATTAAGCTTTTTTATTAGCATTTTTCTAATTGATCTGCATTCATATACAGTTATTTGTTCATACAGATTAGCCGAAATGTTACCTGGACCTAAATAAAGTTGCTAAAAACTGTAATCTGTGCATGGAAAAGCAAACAATGGCCATTGCCCCCAGAGCTTATATCAGAGTCAGCTGATTGGGGAGCGACGAACTTGGAAGTTCTGACCACAAAAACTCAGTAGAACATTGATTTGCAGTGCGGTGTTAAGTTGCTGTTTTTAACTACAAATTATGAATCTTTAACATTTCTGGCGATTTTCCAAAGCAGGCTTTAAAACAGATTTTTTTTCCCCTTCCACAAAACCATTAGAGGCTCGACAACTGCTGCTGATACAGTGGGTAGTTCATTTCAGTTAATTTATTTCTGTCACACAGATGTTATGTTGCAAGCAGGGCTTGTTTTAAAAACCCTCCTGTTTCTGATGCATTCAAGGATGTGACACCATTTGAGCCTTGAGAATCAGCTGCTGAACATAAAAGCCTTTTAAATATAACAAAAAACCATTCATTTCACAAAGTGCATGTTTGCTCATTGTTTGTAATCTGGGATATGATCTCAATTACATATTGTTGAATGCAATGCATTAGCAGCAGACTGTGAAATCTTGATTGTTGAAGTGTCTTCCGCATCACTGAGGAGAAATGGCCTCTGAACGCTAATGCATTACTGTAGGGCAAAAATGACATTTTTTGTATTCTAAGGGATCATTTTACATTTATTAGATGGAGACAGCAGAGAGCTGGCATCAACAAGGAAATGACATGCAACAAAGGTCCCAGGATGCATTTGAACAACTCAATAGCCAGAGTCTCAAACCTTACTGCCACCAGGATTTTGAAGACAAAACACCGTGCATGCAATCTGAGTACACATTTCCAACATATATTGTCTGAACCCCAAAATTGCTCCTGATTTCCAGACCAGTGCTTTGCATGGCTGCTCTGCCACCATCTGTGGTGACTGAATGGCTAATTGTAAAGCCCTTTGTCCACTAAGGCAGAAAATCACAATACTGTATAAGTGCAATCTATTACCATCCATCATTTGGCCTCGGTTTAAATGTCCCCATCAAGCTACTCAGTGTAATAATCAATAAACAGGAAAATACTATTATTACCCCTCCAACAGCTGAGACACATCCCAACCAACAGTCCAGCTACACTCATGTGCGTCTAGTAACCAAAACTTCAGCATGTAGAGAGAAGTGATGAAACATCTGATGAATATATCTGGTTTGTGATAATTAGTCACTGCCATAAATCTTCAACAACCACAGGCAGGACATGAAGTCTGCACCCAGAGCTGTGCTGGAATATTAAAATTATCCTCACAGCCCCTGCATTAGTCAGATTGAAAAATTAGTGAAGCTAATTCCTATTTTTATTGCGGGAAGCTCGACTTCTGCTGCATGCACCACAAGTCTCTGTAGATTTATATACTGACTCTAAACGCTTCCTGACACACTTACTCTCAGTGTGCAGAGGTTTTAAGACACATGTGCAGCCACACACACACGCAGCCTCTCAAGGGGGGTCGCCTGTTCTATGAAATGCCAAATGTAGACCGAGCTGACACAGCAAGGACTTTTTACAGTATCCTAGTGTGCGTGTGTTTATGGCATGAAGAGAATATGACAGGGCAGCGGACAGAGACAGATACTTTTCTGCAGCACAAATACCGGGTGAGGATTAACCAAAACACGAGAGCAGAGGCTGTTAAACTCTGGGGACGTTCCTCCTCGAAAAGAAACCAGGCCTGAGGCAATATAAGGACAGTTTAAGACAATTTTCCATAATTGGATGCACTAGCCAGGTTGAGTGACTCACCTAGGCGCTGAAATCTCTCTCCTAACTACTTAAAAACCACAATTAACTGGAAAAAGAAGCAACAGGTAAGATGCAGTCCATTTCTCTTTTCTTTGTCCTTCACAAATACAGTACAGGCCAAAAGTTTGGACACACCTTCTCATTCAATGCGTTTTCTTTATTTTCATGACTATTTACATTGCAGATTCTCACTGAAGGCATCAAAACTATGAATGAACACATGTGGAGTTATGTATTTAACAAAAAAAGGTGAAATAACTGAAAACATGTTTTATATTCTAGTTTCTTCAAAATAGCCACCCTTTGCTCTGATTACTGCTTTGCACACTCTTGGCATTCTCTCTATGAGCTTCAAGAGGTAGTCACCTGAAATGGTTTTCCAACAGTCTTGAAGGAGTTCCCAGAGGTTTTTAGCACTTGTTGGCCCCTTTGCCTTCACTCTGCGGTCCAGCTCACCCCAAACCATCTCGATTGGGTTCAGGTCCGGTGACTGTCGAGGCCAGGTCATCTGCCGCAGCACTCCATCACTCTCCTTCTTGGTCAAATAGCCCTTACACAGCCTGGAGGTGTGTTTGGGGTCATTGTCCTGTTGAAAAATAAATGATCGTCCAACTAAATGCAAACCGGATGGGATGGCATGTCGCTGCAGGATGCTGTGGTAGCCATGCTGGTTCAGTGTGCCTTCAATTTTGAATAAATCCCCAACAGTGTCACCAGCAAAACACCCCCACACCATCACACCTCCTCCTCCATGCTTCACAGTGGGAACCAGGCATGTGGAATCCATCCGTTCACCTTTTCTGCGTCTCACAAAGACACAGCGGTTGGAACCAAAGATCTCAAATTTGGACTCATCAGACCAAAGCACAGATTTCCACTGGTCTAATGTCCATTCCTTGTGTTTCTTGGCCCAAACAAATCTCTTCTGCTTGTTGCCTCTCCTTAGCAGTGGTTTCCTAGCAGATATTTGACCATGAAGGCCTGATTCGCGCAGTCTCCTCTTAACAGTTGTTCTAGAGATGGGTCTGCTGCTAGAACTCTGTGTGGCATTCATCTGGTCTCTGATCTGAGCTGCTGTTAACTTGCCATTTCTGAGGCTGGTGACTCGGATGAACTTATCCTCAGAAGCAGAGGTGACTCTTGGTCTTCCTTTCCTGGGTCGGTCCTCATGTGTGCCAGTTTCGTTGTAGCGCTTGATGGTTTTTGCGACTCCACTTGGGGACACATTTAAAGTTTTTGCAATTTTCCGGACTGACTGACCTTCATTTCTTAAAGTAATGATGGCCACTCGTTTTTCTTTAGTTAGCTGATTGGTTCTTGCCATAATATGAGTTGTCCAACAGGGCTGTCGGCTGTGTATTAACCTGACTTCTGCACAACACATCTGATGGTCCCAACCCCATTGATAAAGCAAGAAATTCCACTAATTAACCCTGATAAGGCACACCTGTGAAGTGGAAACCATTTCAGGTGACTACCTCTTGAAGCTCATCGAGAGAATGCCAAGAGTGTGCAAAGCAGTAATCAGAGCAAAGGGTGGCTATTTTGAAGAAACTAGAATATAAAACATGTTTTCAGTTATTTCACCTTTTTTTGTTAAGTACATAACTCCACGTGTTCATTCATAGTTTTGATGCCTTCAGTGAGAATCTACAATGTAAATAGTCATGAAAATAAAGAAAACGCATTGAATGAGAAGGTGTGTCCAAACTTTTGGCCTGTACTGTACGTCATAACATTTAAGCACAAAAGACATAGAAGTTAAACTTAGCTCCAACAAAACTCCATCATCTCAAATTCTAATTAAGACAGTATGGCAGCTAAATCTTCCAGTGTATCTCAGGCTCACTCACAGTCACTCTAACAAGACTCAATGTCATCTCGTACTGCTGACTGTATTTCCGAAGCTCACACCACCAATTTAAGTCTCTCCTTTAAAACATTTGGAGAAGGATTTGAGAAAAGTGAGTTGTCGGAGTGGAGTTGAAGATTCAAGACTTCTGTCTAAAAGATATTGTGACATTTTAAAATTCAGACAGGATTGACGAGATGAGCAACGACGTCTAATGGATTCAAAATGTCACGAAGTAATGTGTTCATGCCTTGTTATGATAAACACATTCCAAGAGTTATTCTCTAATAAGGAATTGGACATTTCTGGGGTGCCCACTTACCCTCAGCCTGCATCCTTTTACCCAAGTAACAGATTTCCTTCATTTTCAAGCATTCCCTTTAACAACTACATCAGTTGTTTAAAAGGGATTTCATGCATCCATCCTGTTGCTCTGGTTGTAGAAATTAGATTTATTTGCCTGTATGACTGTTAAATGCTTCTGCAAAATGGTGGCTCTGAAAAGAAGCCCTTGCTTTTTGAGTCTGAGGGACTGTTTCTGTCCACCAGTGTCTCTCTCAACATAATTGTGGATACCCGACATGAGCTTCACAGGAAATGACAGGTCGGGCCAGGTTCAGGTAAACAGTTACAAATGATGTTCAGGTTCTGGTCAGTTTCGGCCTATGACAGACCTGCTGTCTGTTGGGCTGCTTCTTGTTCAATGCTGGGGTTTGTCATTTATGTGTCAACATATCAGCGCTCCACACAACACGCTATTTCAGGTGGTAAATATTCATGTAATTTAATATTAGCTAGCTGACAAATAAAATATGTCATCGTCTAATGCTACCTGAAGCTCGGTGTACTTGCTCAGGTCATTCTGGCCTTTCTAGCAAGCAGCAGCAGCAGTGAACATAACTTAAGCGTTGCTGGAGGGCCGATAGATAATCCATGATGGATGCAGGGTTTCCCACACATTCATTTATTTGAGGGGGCTCGCCGTGATTAAAACAACTGCTTCCATGCTTTGATTTTTTGTTTTTGGAGCTGGACCATTCATTAGGTGTGCTGTTGGAGTATATCTCCCTTTCGGTTATTGACTGCACCACATTCTCGGAACGCAGAGCAAACTCTGGGACAGACAGAGCAGCAGGACGCCAAGCACAGTGAAAGTGAAACTTAATCATTCATTGCACTGGTTCAAGACATTCTACAATTCCCCTCGACACACATAGATTATTATACTGTGGTAAACACTGGGATGTTATCCTCTTCATGATAACTCCAAATAAACTACAATGATTGAATCATGTTAACAGCTCACTTAACAGTGACGACAGTTCAAGAAGAGTTTGTGGAGATGAGATTCGACATGTGCCAATAGAAAGACTCAAAATGTATTAATTTTAAGTGCTGTTGACAAGACATAATGTGTGTGACATGTGTTAAAACAATCTACTTATAGTCTATAGATAACAAAACCTTTTGACGATCATTTACAAGGTGCAACAAGCTGTTACCATGGTAACAACGCCAGCATGACAGGGACAAAGTCAGTGCTTCAGTAATGTCACAGTAACAGCGTCAGGCTTGGGTCGCGTTTAGAAAAACCCCCAGCATGTGTGTTGGGTTCGGGTTAGGCTTAGTTACTACTGTCTGGGTTCAGACAGAAACATGCAGCCTGAGTCGCACTCTACTCACCATGCTGCTGTTGAGATTCTTCTCCACCTTGCAGAAGGTGTGCGGAGGCGTTTCTCCCTTGCTTGGAATAATGATGCAGATGTCGGTGACGGCCAGGGCGGAGTGCGGCTGGCTCTCAGGCGCCCGTCGGTAGGTGACATAGATGCGCTGGGAGGAGTTGCCGCTGATGTTGGCTGGGCGACCGGAGGGTGTGGTCTGGATGAGGTGGCAGCCCTGCTTCAGCCTCTCCTTCCACTCGTACAGCACACTGAGGGAGGAGGCACCACACGGCAGTCAGCCAAAGTAAACTCCACATCAGCATGTAGTTATTAGCTTGATTACCATGTAGAATTAATCAACACAATATGCAGTCATGATCTCATTGGGCCAATTAGGTGGAGCTCCTCGTTTAAGTCTAACACTGGGCATTCATCCCAGTTTTCAGTGGCTGATAGAATGAAGTTGATTAAGCTTAATGTCTGCTTTGCACCTCATAAACTGCTAAGCAGAATTGATGCGATTCATGAAAAACCAGTGAGAGATCTACGAGTTTTAGCACATAAACTGGCAGGCAGAGTGCACAGATGTCTCCTTAACTTCAAGCTCAGGGCCACTTTTAAACCCAATAACTTTGGCCACGCTCACAGGAGTCTACACTTGCAATAATAACATGTGAGCTAAAAGCATAGTGCCATCAAGTGTTTGACACACGAGTGAAGATTGAGGGGAAACTTACAAGTAATTCAAAACTGCAGATTCTCCTGTTTCACTTACAATTAGTCATCAGTATGGAGGCATTTTAGTTTCTTTGTGACTCATGATTATGATACCGGCTGGTGAAAGAATGTTTGGCCGCTATGTTGCATGCAAATGCCAGATTCAACGTCAAGCAACAGTAACATGGCAGCTTAAATAAACAGGAAAACTATTGTAACCAAGTGAGGAGCTCCAGCTGCATCCAAATCCAAACAGACACAGTGTCTGTGGGCTCTTTGCTGTGGAAAGCAAATACAGCACACTGTATTTAGAAGCAGCACACATTTAATATGTTTTGTACAGTCATTACTTAGTATCCCCTTCTTAATTATGGACCATGCTTTAAAGTGGAGCACACATTGACCTAAATGTATATTTCCTGTTGTTGTGCAAATACTATGTACCTAACCTTTCTTTCAAAATTTTTGCAGATTACTGTATTGAAGAGATGTTTTTATGTAAAAATAAAAACTTTTTTTTTTAACTTTACCCAGGATGATCTCCTGAGATTGAAATTCTATCGAAAACATTTCTATCAGCTTTTAGGATTTTTTTTAATGACAACTGAATTTAATTTTGACCCTAAAATCAAATGTGGGATTTGCTGTATCCAACATTCCACAGTCAGTACATGCATGTACACTGTCAGTCAAACATATTAACCCAGTTCAGCATTTTAATAAGACACAAGAGGGCACTCACACGAACCACTTAGTGGACGAGTACTCAGAGGTACAGAACAGTAGCAGTAATTTTAAACATCCCTCTCTGTGCTTCCATCGTGCACTTATCCTCCATTACTGCTTCAAGTGGAACTCAACCGGCATTTTGTGGCACTATCTGAAAGCTGCAAAGAGAACAGAATTCTGAGTAGTCAACTTGGGGATTTTTCTGTTTTTCATTTCAGTGCTCATCACAGAGGTGATTGTGCTCTGCTGACAGTAAGGACAAACACAGTGCACAAATCTTTCTCTGTCGATGCGGTCCTCACCATTAGAGCAGTGCCACAGACATCCTTCTTGTGTGTTTGCTAAATTAGACCTTGAATGCCTCTCCAAACAGCTGGAGTTGTGTGAGGAGGGCAGAGTTTTGTACAGTATTTTCTAAAGGAGCTGGTCTTTATTTAAGGTGAGGTGGCCCACCTCTGCTAGAAAATAACATAATGAAACGTGAAATAAACCGTTAATCCTCAGGGGAAAAGAGCAGAGGTGCTATTTCACACAGAAAATGTCATATATTTACCTCCGCCAAGGAGGTCATGTATTCGGCTCGGTTTATGTATCTGCTTGTGTTTGTTTGTTCGTTTGTAAGCAGGATTATAGAAAAACTACTGAGAGATTTTCAGGAAACTTTTGAAAGGGTGTAGGGCCAAGGAAGAACACAATACATTTTGGAGGGGATCTTAACCACTGGGCAGATTCACCAATTATTTTCTATTCTGCAGTTCACAGTATGACATTTACAGACTGGGCTGGGATTCAACACATTTCTTACTTCAGACATCACAAGCAAAAATGAAGGTGGCTGAGGGAAATGGTGGCGGCTTAAAACAGCTGTCTTATACTAAGCACATTTGCCAAACAAATATAACATGCTAATGTTTTTAGCACAAGCCTATGGCATTTTACATTATATACATTAGCCTAGCGATGAGCGGAGATTTCCTCTGCTCATATGAAGCCAGGATAAATCCCGAAGTATAAATCCCTGAAGGATAAATTATACACAATACTTAAAATGCTATTTTTTGTGAAGGCTTTATTGTCATCCTAATTAATTGTGTCTTATCTGTGAAATCAAAGTAAATAAAAGCTTCGTTTCCACTGAGGGAAATGGTTTCAGCTTACAAAAATAGACAGGAGGTCTGCATCACCGCAACGCTGAGCGGTGGGTGGGTGAGTTCAACTTTCTGTTTTGAAAACACCCCCATTTTCACAGGTAACTTAGCCTGTCCTCCCGCCACAGGAAATGATGGATTAATCCTGGAAAGCTGTTGATGTAGCACTTTTCTCCTTACGAAAGTAACACAGAAATTATTCGACTAATGACAATTTGGTCGGACGAGAGCATAGCGACCAAATAATCAACTAGTCGACCAGGAGACTACAGCCCTACTAAAATGTGGCTCAGACATTGATGCAAAGCAAAAGATATTTTTTGACCAAATACAGACTGTAGATAAGTTTCAGTCGAGGAGTTATGTGGCAGGTAGCCAAGCAGCAGACACAAACAAGCGCTTGACAAACACATCATCAGCAACTCAATGTTACTGTAGCTGGTTACGCTGTTGCACTGTCGCTTGTGGTGTGAACACAGCGTAATGGTGGTTTGCAGTTAAATTAATGTCCTGAATGTTACATAAATCACCTTTAACAATGTGAGATAAGACATTTGACCTTGGAGGAGGTCTGCACTCTCCTGGTCTCACTCATGAAATGTCAGTAAATCTGTGAGTAGATTTGCACATATAAAACCTTGGTACTAAAAACCTACAAGCTGCAGAAAACTCTGATTTGATTGTAGGCACGTGTGTATGTTCATGAATGCCAATCAATCGTAAATTGACAGGGCGCTTTCGCTAGTCAGTAATTAGCATAATTCTACACCCATGAATAGCCAGTGACTACCATATATGGAGGTGATAATTACTATGGATAGGTGCATCCGTCTGACCTGCGTACATGGAGCAAACAAAGCATGGCGCAAAGAAAGTAACAGCTGCAGATGAGCACAAGCAGAGAGGTCTCAGAGAGAATATTCCTGATGGAGACAGTGACATGCCTCCACTGGAGTAGTCAACAGCAAGCTCAGAGGGTAAGGCGATGTCCATGTAATATTAAGTGTTAAATGGCTGTACATTCTGACAGCCATCACTGATAGCTTAGTGTTTGATCAGTAAAGTGGGTCTCACAGTCTCGCCATCCAAACAGAAGATATACTGTATTTGTGGAGTTCTCTCTCCTGATTGAATCAAATAGGAACAGGGTGCTAGAAATGTTGAAAACACACGTATTAAGTCAATTTAAATATCTCATTCACATTTTTAAAGCTATAGTGCGTAACTTCTACAGGTCCGTAAATGTCCGTTTCACCCAAGCCACTACTAGAGGAGATGACACAATGCTGATTAAGCCGATCGGCTCCTCTAACATCTTGTTGTATTTTTCAATATATATTATTTTTAGTTTGCGTGTCTACCTGCGACATTTCCTCTCTGGTGCACAGGAAATGCTTCCTCACAACAAGAAGGGAGGGGGAGGAAGAGCAGAGAGTGTCACAGCAAGAGGTAGAGCGCAGGTAGAAAGAGAAAGCAACATGGTGGAGAAGCAGCCGAGACACAGTTCAGAAGTGGATCCTACCACAAAGAAAAAGCCTGGACGTTCGGCTGAAGGTCTATTAGCAAAGAAGGAAAGTGACCGACGGAGAAGGCAAACAAGGATTTGTATTGGCGTCGCTTTTCCTCAGTGGAGAGCCCTGAAGGAAGAAATTGGGCTGAGGGCAGACACGGATGTTGCCTTGCTGCTGTTGGATAAGTAAGTGACTTGGTTTATAATTATATTATGAGTAGTTACTCTGTGTACACGGTGTGTAGCGAGTGTTACTCTGTGTACACGGTGTGTGGCGACTGGCGAGTGTTACTCTGTGTACGGTGTGTGGTGACTGGCGAGTGTTACTCTGTGTACACGGTGTGTGGCGACTGGCGAGTGTTACTCTGTGTACGGTGTGTGGTGACTGGAGAGTGTTACTCTGTGTACACGGTGTGTGGCGACTGGCAAGTGTTACTCTGTGTACACAGTGTGTGACGAGTGTTACTCTGTGTACATGGTGTGTGGCGAGTGTTACTCTGTGTACATGGAAGTGCCGCCGGCTTATTAGTTGTAATAACGCATTATCCGCTGGGAGGCGACAGAAGTTACGCACTATAGCTTTAAGAAACCAAATCTGAAGCTTAAATCTGCTAAATGCAAACTAAGGTAGCTAAATGTGTTATAATTCTAATTTTTGTCATATTTAACCTACATGTTTCATAGTGAACATAACAGAGCACAATACAAATTAAAACTGTAATTTCTAATAATGACAAGCAATATTTATGTGTGTTTCTTATTTACACAGGCACTAAGAGCAGTCAGAAGTAGCTGTAGAATTTGTTAGTACATGTATCTATGAATACCAAAATACACATAAATTTCACTCTGCTAACAGTGTACGTTCATATTCGCTCTGCTCATGTTTCATGTATGAGACCCTCTAAGTGCCCACTAGGTAACAAGTGTGGCTATTGTTAAGGCTGTCAGCTACCAACTAAAGTGATCATGAGACAGGATGTGTCAGTGTTTGTGTGGATTGCCACATCTGCCTATCAATTTCCTGGCTGAAACCCGGAGATGCCAATGTGCCTCATATTCCTTTCTAGTCCACAATACTGAAAAAAGGCCAAACTGGTATTAATATGACCACTAGTAACAGAAAATACTAATTATTCCATGTGCAACCTGAGCAACAAATCACAACCACATGGAGCAATAAGTACCTCAGTTTCCCATTAGTCCTACAAATGTCTGGGAAGTGCAGCCCCTCTGGGCTATCAGCACACAAAAGCTGCTGATACTGTCTGAGCAGAGTCTCTGTGTCAGTGCCTGATAAGCACTGCACTCTGCCATGTCAGAGGCCAGTATGAGCCTCCTTAGCATTGTCACCACCTGCCTCCTGTCAGCCAGTGGTGTGAAAAGACTGAATGGACAGTACTGAATTCCCCCACATCAAAAGATGTTGCTGAGGAAGACACCTGTAACAGCGCTTCACACTATTCCACTTTTTGTTGCAAAATCACAATGGGTAACGGCTGCAAGGCAGACAGAAACTGTCTGCTGGGGAAAACTGCTGCACAGGAGGAATTTCAGCACTTTCTAAAGTCAGAGCACTCAGCTTTTCAAAACCAACATGATATGGACCACTCTCTAGACACAAACTCTGCTCCTCACTCACAATAGCAAGAAACAGCAAGGTAGAGTCTTATGGGAAGCAGGAAGCTGACAGAAGCTGACAGTTACAGAAACAACAGCAACCGCAATGTTTGCTGAAAGCAGCAGCTGGTCATTACTAGGAATGAGACAAATAATGGACACAACATGCAACATGTTGCATGCATAAATATCATGGCCATGTGTATTAGGTAAGCTCAGACTGCGCACTTCATCACAGTGATTCATTTCGGTCTTCTTGAAATTCTATGAAACTGGACATTCGATAAAGTGAAAGTGAATTTCTGAAATTTCAGCAAAATAAAATGTAAATCAGTGTTTACATCAACCACATTTTTGATAATATATTCCACAGCAGATGAAGCAGAAGCAGGAACTGCAAGGTCATGGTGCATATTATATTTGTTTTCTTTATTGCACCCACTCTGTTTCAGTATACCAAATATTCTACCTTTCCCAAGGCGTAAAAACTGTTCTGTCTTTTTGTGGAAGTGCTTTTATTAAATATATATACTATCATCACTGTCAGCAAAATACCCCAGCTTGCCCTCTGATTATAGAGATAAAGAGCTGCAATTATAATTATTAAGACGAATGGATTTTTCAATCTGCATCTTGTCTTCACAAAGCACCCTGTGCAGAACTGACTGCAATGTGGCTGCAAAGAGACAGAGACAAAAAAGAATGTGACTCCCTTTACCTGCCTAGTACGCAAATCCAATTGATTTTTCTCTATGAAATTCACACTGAAACTCACACTTTCTGTGGTGTGAAAAGGATTCTACACCGATTGGAAATTAAAGTTTTGTTTTCCACAAAAAGGGCTGTGTGATTTACCAATCGCCAGTTGGACAGATATCATTTCTTTCTTTACAATCTGGCTACATAGCTTTGGTTTGAACCAATAAGAGCCATAACTGAGCAGAACTGCTGGCCCGTGGCATTGCTGTGATTTTTCAACAGTGTTTATACCCATACCAGCAGCATGGCTCTGGGGATGGCAAAGTCACAGTGTCAGTGCACCACATCGGTCAGGAATGAAATCTCACAACAACAATTTCCATGCCATGCCATGAGAGATTGTACCTAGATATTCACGATGCCCAGAGGATGATGCCTGTTGCCTTTGGTGATACCATCCATCCATCTGTTTTCATCTGCTTATCCGGAGCCAGGTCGCAGGGGCAGCAGGCCAAGCAAAGCACCCCAGATATCCCTCTCCCCAGCATCGCTTTCCAGCTCCTCCTGGGGGACCCCAAGGTGTTCCCAGGCCAGATGAGATAAGTAATCTCTCCAATGTGTTCTGGGTCTGCCCCGGGGCCTCCTACCAGTGAGTGGGAAGTGCCCGAAACACCTCCAGCGGGAGGCGCCTTGGAGCATCCTGATCAGATGTCCAAACCACATCAACTGACCCCTTTCGACGCGAAGGAGCAGCAGCTCTACTCTGAGCTCCCCCCAGATGTCCGAGCTCCTTACCCTATCTCTAAGGCTGAGCCCAGCCACCTGACTTTGATACCCTGACTTTTAATCTAGCGCCACCATGAGGGTGACAAATATGTTTTTTAATAAACTATCTCAACAACTATTGGATGGATTTCCTTGAAGTTTGGATGAATTGTCATAACTGGCGATCCCTGATCTTGTCAACTACCATCATCATCAGGTGGAACTTTTAATTTGATGACTGACAGTCCCATCAGCCTCAGCCGTAATTTGTGCTCAATTAACACAGTGTTTCTCAACTTTTTTGTGTCAAGGATCCCTAAATTGATTCATACAAGGTTGCAGACATTAGGTTAATTTGTTAACTTAGGTTACACCTCACCTCACACCTGTGATTACCTACCAAGCCTAGTTATACCTGATCAACCCATCCTGCTTTGTTTGTCTCAGATTTCTCTACCCACCCTCCCTTTCCCTTCCCTTCATCCATCATCCTCCCTACCTCATCCCTTCCATCATTCCTTCTTCCTCTCTTCCCTTCTCCCCTCATCTCCTCTTATTCAATCTCGTGCATACCTCTCCCATGTCTCGTTCTAGGTACCGTCTGGGGGGCCTGTAATCAGCTCGGGTGGAAAAATGCCTGTGATGGAATACCCACACTGAGTCTCCCTCTGCCCGATCTCAAGTACATCCTCCCAAATCAAACAGTTCAAACAGAAGACATCCCTCTTCCAACTTCACACCCCACTTAGATCATTCACCAGTCCTCAACAACTAACACCTCCTGAATTACAATTAAATATTTGAACAACATATTGTTGTGGCGTGGTCCTTGCTAGTGAACTCCATTTTAATTCCCTTCAGGAACCTCCACCTGAAAAGATTTTAGTAATTAGATGTGATTCAGACCTGAATTCTATAGTTGTCAACTACGGTTGAAGAGATAAACATGGAGGTAGTGAAACCTATGATTCAAATAGTAGCTCTAATGACTCTTCCTCACACTGGGCTCACTTCTATATGAATGAAATAGTGATAATAAATTATTCCCCATTTTTCGAGGGAGCCCCATGTAGTCCCTCAAGGACTCCTGGTTGAGAACCACTGAATTACCAAATGTCGGCATGTCAACAGGCTAAACTAAGAGGGTATACATGCTAAACATTTTGCCTGCTAAAAATCAGCATGTTAGCATAGCCACAGTGAGCATATTAGTATGCTGACTTCAACATCTGGCTCAACAGCCTCATAGAGCTGCTAGTGTGACTCTTAGCCTTACAAATACACAAACTTTGTTGTGTTGCCTTGTTTCAACACAAAAAAACACCTCAGACACAAAGATCAAGACTCCACTGGTACTCACCCCAGGTCAGTGAGTGGAGGCTTGTCCCGACCTCGCCTGTAGCACAGGAAGATCTGGGGTGCCATGAGGCCGCCATTGTTTAGATCAGCCGAATGGCCGGTTGGTGTTTCCTCTATGCAGGTGAACCCTGGCGGTATCTCCTCGCCCATGGAGCGGACTACCACTGCCACATCGGTGATGGGCGCCTTAGGCTTGGCCGTCTTGTGGCAGACATCATCAAAGTGGATCTCCTGGTCCAACGGCTTGGACGGGTCCGTCAGACCGGCCACCACAAAGTAGTCGGCTACACGAGGGCCTTTGTCCTCCATCATCTCCCATCCCCGCCGACTGCCTGCACAGTTACAGAGGGAAAGAGGAAGAGAGACACAGAGAGGGAGAGGTTAAGAGAGAGGGAGGGGAGATTGATTTTCGTCATGGTAGCAGGTACAGACGGTTCTTGCGTCCTTGCTAAGGCAGTAAAATAAAAAATCTGACAGTCATAAATCTTACTGGAGGAGAGGCCAGTAGAAGGGCAAATGAAAAGAGAGGGTACAATGTGAGGAGTAGAGAGGCTGCCATTAGGTACCAAGCAACCATTTTCAGTTCAGGCAGATAGCTGATAGTCTTTGACCAGGCTGGCTTTAGTTGACCAGCTAAAAGTTCAGTGTCCTGGCTCAAGGACACTGACAAATCACGTGCTTCTGAACAGGACATAACATTTGTTGGTGTTAAGGGTTTTGAACCTTTCTCTAAACTGAACCAGTACAGTTAAAGCCTGGCTGACTACACAGGCCTGAGTGGGCATTTTAAAAGTGGAGCAGTGAGGTGTTTCTTCACACTTGACTTTCTGCCTCAATTATAGGCAGGTCCCACATAAAAACCTGCTGATTAGAAGCCTTGTGATATCATGAGGCCTATTAAGCATGGTGATAAAAGCCAAACAGTAGTTTCCTTAATCTGTCTTAAGAAGGGCATGTCCTGACTGCACAACACCAGCTACACTTTCTAAAGAAGCACAGTCTGACAGGTATACCGGCATCACTGGGTGAATGAGTTAGCGCTACAAAAACACCCAAGATGTCACCTTTAAGTGGGAAGTAATGATTTTTCCAATGATAAAGCTACACTCAACAAAATCTGCACCTAATCAAAAGCTGCTTTAAGCAAATGAATTGTTTTTCTGGCTTCATTATCACAAAACAAACAAACCCCCCTGAAAGCAACACTAACATAAGCTACACAGCTGCAATCGTTTCAGCTGAGCAACACTTCATCGGGTGAATCTCCAAACAACTGGAGAGCATTTTCTATTTCAGAAAAAGGGGGAGACTCAACAAACACCTTCAGTGCCCTCTGAGGAGAGCCAGTGAATCTTAAAAGGTCAGTGCTACTTTGATCTAACTCTGCAGTTCACCGCTGATTGTTTGCTGTGTTGCGATCACGGTGCCATTTGGAGTCAAGACCACTGAGGTCAGAGTCGCAGACAAAACTCCTGAAAAGCTTTTGGACCAAAGATACAACTGAGAACAAAATTAATGGTGTGAGAGGAAACTATGGGATATCTTTAAAGAGCAGCTGCTGGAGGCTCTGCCTAAAATGCTGTGCTGAAATTGTGTTGCTACCTTTCTTTAGAAAGATGCTTTGTGTCACATTCATTGGATTTGTTTCCATTGTGAGGCAATTTGATTGAAGTATGAAATCATGCAAGACATTTGCATTACATACTGCTGTACCACCACAACTCAACTAGTATATGAAACAGAGTTGCACCAGACTTTAGTACTGCTTCAGGCAGTGTGTTCAGTGTCTTACTGATCCAAGAAAAGCTACATTTTCTCTGCAAAAACACGACAAAAAATAAATCAGTTCCTAAGATCACTTACTGTGACCCAAGAGGATGCATGTGTATATGTGACAACCCAGAGAAAAACTGTGAATAGGATGAGATGTAAAACGGTTGTCCTTCGACATTTTTTCACCTCTTATTTTTTCATACAGACATTATTGCCTTCAGCTCTAACCCCGATGTGGCAGTCTGTAGCTTAAGATAAATCATGACACATTCTTTCTGTCTCTTCTTGATAAAACAGCTCAACACTTTGCATAAAAGAAACAAAGGAATACTGTAAGCCAGTTTTGTCTTACAGTGGACTTTCTGTCTTTGGCAGTCTCTGGATGTGGTGATGTAAAGTCTCAGACAGCCTCAGGGGCCAGATTCATCACTCAACCTCTTGACACTCGAGCCTGCGGGACACAAGTTTGTCTCTGTGGGTTCAAATGAAGCTTTACCACCAGTGCCAGCACTTTTGCTCTTCTCCTGGACAGTCGTGCTAAAACACGAGAACACACTGGGCTCTGACAGCTGAAATCTGGAGGTGTGAGAAATGTGTACGTGTACAGCAAGTACTCAGATTAGATATTAGAAACAAGACTTAATGTCTTTTCATATAAAACTGAATTTTGCACAGATGACTGTTTTACTTCCAAAATGGTGACACAGTCCGTGATAATTTTTCACCCTGACAGCCATCTCATTTCAAATGGATTTCAATTTAAATCTGAGTAACTCAACTGGACAAGGTCTGTGATTCCAACCATATGCAGTAAGAGGGTGTGGAAGAGAGGCTTAATTAGCAGGGTGTGTTAGCTAGTCTAAATGTGTTGGCTCAGGGGAGAGGTGAAAAAGCTGCAAACTCCAGTGTGTGTGATGCTATGCTAGCAAGACGTCAGCTGCCACTGCAGCTACATAACCCACTGTTAACACCTCTGTTTATTCCCCTCACCATCAGAGACTATTTTAAGTGAAGAAGAGATCAAACTGTGACAAAATCTTTCTCTGTTCTGACCTCTACCAGAGATTCTCCTCCATCTGCACACTGTGATTTCAGTCTTTGTTCAGCTGCAGTGTTGAAAACATTTCATGTAAAAATATAAAAAAACAACTAAGTTGTCTTCAATATAAAATCACACACACTGAAACTCACTGTCATCCAGGCTGCATCAGATGGAAGAGAATTCCATTTGTTTCTATAGTTAGCTGTTTTGAACGCAACATTTGGTGAGACAATTATTTGTTTACACAAATCTAAAAGCTAGAGCTGGGTGTTTATTGGTAAAATGAAATGATCTTCGCAGGGTCAATGTGCTAAGCTCATATCCAAACAAAGAGCAATTTGTGTTTCTCTCTCAAATCACTTCCAGCTATTGACAGATGGTGAGAAAACACTGTGTTCTGGCTTCTGTACTCTGATTACAAATGCATCTCAGCTCATCACTTCCTCACTGTGGAGAAACGATCAGAAGAGAGTCACAGTGTGCTAATTTTCTGTGCCAAGTGATGTCTGGTCAGCCCTGATAAGGCAGATGCAGTGAGGTGAGTGAGCTGGACCTATCGCCTCTGGTCCTTCTTCAGTCGTACAGCCCCAGAACATTCAGTCCTGGAATATATCCCCTATCAAATCTACCTTAAAGGCTGGCAGTGCTCCTGTGGTTATCAGCTGGGGAATAACTGGTTAAACTAAGAATGACCAAACTGACCTCTAAGGGCTGCACATCTGCACAGCATCCTGAGTCCAAGACCATAGTCTATGTTCAACTTCCTGTTCAACACACAAAGCAGACTCATAAATGTTCCTGGGACACTCGCATTACAACATATTGGTGAAACACCCAGAGGACAGGATGTGGGACACGTGATCACTTCTCTTTCAGAAACATTTACTCAGGGATTGAACGCAATACAAAATACACAAAATACAAAAAGGGAGTCCTCTCCCATTTCAGAATGAAAACAGTTCCACTGCAGCACTGGTGCAAGTGGAAACTACGATGGTTTGTACAGCTGCTCCTTACATTCCCTTATCTCAACTTAGGAGGTAATTTAAGGGGGGACAAGGCGCCACCTTGTTAGAAAAATTACCAGAATACGTCCCCCTTGTTAACCTGCCATCCTTTTCCATTCCTCAGGTCTGGACCTAGTTGCCATCTTATCCTGACTCAGACCGGTAACCATTAAATTATTGAGAGTAACTACATTTTAACAGAGCGTTTCAATTTTGACCGGTGCAGCATTGTAGCAAAGGTTTCGCAACCAAGAAGCTCAAAGACCAATTGCATGTGTTCAATCATCTAACATGATGCTACTCAACCAGTTAGAGCAATGCATACCCATAAGCATTGCAACTTGAGTGAGTAAGACATGCATATGGGAAAACTAGTCAGAGAAGAGAATCAGAGAAAAGCAATTTGATATAGAGTGTTCTAAAGAGGGAAAGCCAGACAGCGAAAAACAGCTTTTAATCAAGAATGGACAGACTCTTAGAAAAATGGGCAGCTCAAAACCAGTATGCCTCATCTTATATTCCGAGACAATGGTGTTTACTAAGAGTGACTGTGAAGTGCCACTACAATACAAAGCACAGAGCAAATATTTCCTATACGGCACTGAAATCACCCAGTGTCTAAACTCATTATCTACTGTAGAATAAACTGGTCCAGCATACATATTGTTTTTACAACAATTTAAACTATCTTCAACATTTTCCCTACTTTTGGTGGAATGACAGAATCGCTAACACAGAAAACAACAGCACAAGTAAAACAGAAACCTATATGTGGGGGGGGGGGCAAACACACATTCCTATTGCACCTTCACATGTGCCCACAACACGCTCTGCCATTAAGAGCCTGCATGTGAGCATGTGTCTGGCAAGGATGACACGCCGACAGACAGCCTGAAGAAGAGAGACAGAGAGAGAGACTGTGTGTGTGTGTGTGTGTGTGTGTGTGTGTGTGTGTGTGTGTGCCAGCACAAGGTCCCGGGGTCACATTCTTGTATTTCACAGGCATAATGAAAGGCAGAAACTAGCGTGGTCAACACGTGTGGGTTTTGTCAAGTGCAGGACAACCGCATAAAAAGGCTCAGCCAATCTACGTTCAACTGTTCTCCATTTGAAACATATGTTTAAAGCATATGCAATTCATAAGAACTATGCAATGCATAATGAAAGGAGGCGGTGGCATGACACAGGGTGTTGGCCAGTGCAGCGGCTATCTCGTTTCTTGCAAATGACTGCAGCTTAATTGACCCAGAAGGATTTTGCATGAGACTCGACTGACGAAAACCAGACGTGGGTATTGTTTCATGGAACACACAGTAAGCACAGTTAACTCCTCATTTAGTACAAAACCGTAACAATAAAAAGATGCTGACCTAATTCATTGCAGTCTTGTAGATGCAAAGCAGTGGCGACTCTGCAGTGTCACCTCCCTGTTAGACTGACCACAGAGCCACATGACGGGCCAAAGAATGATACTCATCCCTGCCATGCTGTCAGCCTGCTAAAAATACAA